AAAGGACCTGCTTAGGATCTGGCTCCGTGCGAGTCACCCATGGACTGATAACCACTGTAGATGTAGCAGGTCCTAGGGAGGTAGCTGCAAGCCCAGGTTATCCCTAAGAGGCTGGAAGCTGCTGGCTAACTCCAACAGGGTGATGGGAGGTGGCCTCTGAGAGGCAATAAAGTAGACTTCCCTACTGGTGAGACAGTTGCATTTTTGTGTGTTCATAGGTCAGACAACATAGACCTTGATATCTGAAGACAAAAGCAAATAGAATTCACCAAGTGAGGGCATTTGAGAAGGGACTGTGAGGGTCTGGATGGCAGATCTCTCCAGTGCTGTGAGCAGCAGAGCAGCCCGAGAATACACTTTGGTGCTTTGATTCTATCACAAGCTCTATTTCAGGCAGACTAATGGGCAGAAATCTATTCTGAGGTCTGAGGGCTGCCCAGCATCAGCCAGGAGCTGCGCCTGGAGAAAGACCATCCTTCGTCCTCCGGTCTCAGTGGCCTTGCTGTCTCAGCTCCAGACACAGCTCATCAGCCATCCCAGTGGGGTGGGAAGGGTTCTGGCTGTGGCCTTGCTTGTGCAGGCCTGCCCCCACCCAGAGGTTGGGCTGGGAACTTCTGGGGGACACTGCGTTCTCCAGCAGGATGCAGCAGGGTACCAGTCATCTGTGCGGAGAGAGTGAGTCCCATGGGAAACATTACAATGTCTTCTCCAAATTTAGTACAAGTTCTGGAAGGATGCGCTATTCAGGCATCAAGATGGTGCAGAGGGAGGCTGGGTGGGGGTGCAGCAGAAGCTTACACCAGGGCATAGTGCAGAGTTGGAGGCTATTTCTTGGTGAGGCCATCACACAGCTTGTCTGTGCCCACCCCGGGGAGGGAGCAGCCCCAGGGCTACGGAGGTTAATGGTACCACACACACCGGTATTCAGCTTGATGTGCCTGTGCTCATTCACCACAAACTTCTTATTCATAACGGCATAACAGGAAGAGAAAGAGACAGGGCTTGGGCCCACTATCCACAGGGAACTCTTCAGCCCTGGCCTCACCTGGAGGGAGCCGGTTAATCCCTGCCAAGACTCCTATTGTCTGCCTGAAGAGAGACAAAGATCTCAAGTGTTTCCTGTGGTTTTCTTCTCCATTGGCTGGTTGCGGGTGAGAGTGTGGAGTGCGTGCAGCCAGGAGCAGTCAGCCATACATAGTCCCAGAAGTTTCAGGCTCAGGCTCAGAACGATGTCTTGTCGGCAGCCTATATATTAGACTCATGGGATGAAACTGCACGCTAATTAGACCTAAGTTTTGACTTCATAAAATGACCTCTATCACTCTATGTGTGGCTCAATAGCCTTTTAGTGTGTCACAGTGTGATTTTACAATTATTTAGATATTAATTTGACTATATATGTACTTACACTAATATCTACATCCCCTAATATCCTTAATAGTCTCTGTGTTTGCTCCATTTTATTACCAACACCCAATATAGTGCTTAACACATAGTAGTTGCTCAATAAGTGTTTGTAGAGTTAAAGAACGAGTGAGCCTTGAAAAGCCTCCCTAGGAGCGTAATTCCCTCGCAGTACATGCGTGCTGCCAGAAGGTGGCGATAAATATGGCCGCGAATTTTAAGCTTCTATAAGAATTATGTAACGCAGCGAATGTGCTTGCTCCTTCAGGCGTGGACTTAGGCTTATGCCCTTGGCTAGCACTTGACTAAGAGAAATCTCCAGGTGTAGCAGAAATGATCGGACAGATTGACACATCCTTCTTCTTCTGACAGCCAGGAACCCTGGGCAAATGACTTAATCTTTTGGGATTCAGTTTCTTCCTCCACAAGATGAAATTAACCTTGACCATGTCAGGTCTTGTTATAAAGATTAAACACGATAACTCGTGTAAATTAAATGTATACACATAATTTTTCAACTTCAAAGTTATTTTCCATCTATTATGTTAGAATAATTGTAGATGATCACTTCCTCCAAAAATTACCTCCACCTCAATATGTACTACAGGAACTGAAGCAAAACACATTGAACTTCACAAACAAAACAAATTGCTAACAACAATATGTGAAATGTACTTGTCTTTCTCAAGCCCAGTTTTCCTCTAAGAGAAATGAATATGAGTTCGAGACCTTACTTTCTTCCTAAAGAGACTGAATAGAGAGTGGCTCCATTCTTCTGTGATGACCCATCCAGAATTGAATTAGTTCATCAGAAGAACTTGAATTATTTCTTAGAACACGATGGGATGAATTCTCGCAGGAAACAACCCCTCCAGATAGCAGAGGGCTCTTCAACATCCCCTGAGTTCTTCTGAAGTAAACATTCAGTGCTGAAATTCAGGAAATAGACCTGCCACAAGGCACATGTAACTTTTATAGCTGGAAATTTGCAATCGATTTTTCTCTCAAGGATTTTCAGACCTAAATTAATTTTTAATATACTGACCTAAGGTGCCTAGTTATTTTTAGATAAAACTGTCAAGTATCCTTGAACTTAAAAGTAGGCTGTGAGAAATAAGATAGTTAAGATATTACATTGCCAGAAACCCACACAAATGAAGTAAAATGCCCACTGGGCTGCTGCACAGAGGAAGGTTGATGGCTGAACCATGTAGGGAGGATCCAGCCAGCTGAGGACCAGGCTCCCTCTGCTCATATGAAGGCCACCTCCACCCAGACCCTCGACCGTGAGGCAGATGAGCATTTTCATAAATTTGACAAACTTCAAAAAGTTCGCGGAAAATGGAATCAAAGGTTGTGTTTATTTTGGTACCCAAAACTTTGAAATCAAGGATCATCAAAAAGCTCACAGAAAATGGGTATGATGAAAAGCCCAAGTAGGGATTTTAATTTTTTGCACCAAAATAAGTTTTTCATTCCATTTTTCCATGAACTTTTTTTTTAAGATTTATTTATTTGAGAGGCAGAGTTACAGGCAGAGAGAGGGAGAGACAGAGAGAAGGTTTTCCATCCTCTGGTTCACTCCCCCAAATAGCTGCAATGGCTAGAGCTGGGCTGATCCAAAGCCAGGTGCCAGGAGCTTCTTCCGGGTCTTCTACATGGATGCAGGGGCCCAAGGACTTGGATCATCTTCCACTGCTTTCCCAGTCTATAGCAGAGAGCTGGATCAGACGTGGAACAGCTGGGACTCGAACCAGCATTCATATGGGATGCCAGCGCCGTAGGCAGAAGCTTAGCCTAGTACACCACAGCGCCAGCCCCTTCCATGAACTTTCGAAGCACCCTAGTATCACCCACAGAGAAAGAAACAAAGACCACTAGTGCACCAGGCACCCAAGGAGCAAACTTGCTTACCAAGACACTCTGACGTTCAAAATTGCTCAGTAGAATCCCAGCCCCTGGCAACCTGCCGTCAGGTACCGAGCCCCTGACTAGTTTCGGGGTGGGGCAGGAATGGCGCTTAGCTGGTCCAAGAGGAAGAAAGCCTTTCGTATCCCCACTTGAACCCCACAGCTCACTCTCGGAGCCTGAGGAACCCTTGACCCACTGCTCCGCTCCCGTTCAACATGAGCATGGCCACTCTCAGTTGGACCCCCCAGAACTGCTGTGCAGCTGCAGAGCAGAGACTTTGAGCTACTGATCTCAGTGTCCCCAGGCCTACGGCAGGGCCTACATGAAAATGGCCCAAGTTTTAATGAAAAAGGTTGGAGAGCATAAATGAAACAAAAGTGGAAGGAAAGAAGAAACAAGGTAGGATGTGGCTCTTCCCAGCCACAGAAAAACCTGCTGATGACAAGTTTCCTTTCCTGAGATAATAAAACAATTATGTTCTTTTAATCCACTCAATTTTGGGGTAACAGTAACTGGAACCAATTCAGGTGTCTAGAACTGGATGCCACTGAAACACAAGCCTATGCCTGCCCCTCCTCCCCCTGGAGTGAGCCTCTCAGACAGAATCCCTGTGGGGACAGGTACACTGTGCTCCTGCAAAGATGTCTCCTGTCTTCCTGTGTGTGTCTAGGTGCAGGCACGACGGGCCGACAGGCTCAGCAGGACCCTGAGCAGGATGCATGGTGGGAAAGATGCACCGATGGCCCCAAAGGCAGGCAGCCCTCTGCATGGCAGCTGACCAGCTGGTCCACTTAGCAAGTGACCGAACCTGGGATGGGGCAGGGACACCAGCGCGTGCATCCCTGTGATACGTGGTCTGTAAAATGATGTATGTGATACATACATCCCCTCTCCACTTCAACACAGCAGAGTGTGTTTTTGTTTTTATTTGGGCTTTGAAGTTTGCTGGCTAATGATCAAAACGACCTGCTGCTTGCAACAGGCGTCGGCTCAAGTCCAAGGGCACCGAGGCCAGCACGGCGGAGTCTCCGTGGTCTCCGCTCCCCACAGCTTCTGCCTCCTCTAGCTCTTCGTGTCCGTTCTCCAACGCCCACGCACCCTGGGTGACTGCTGGCTCTGTGAAGAAGCCTCTTTATGTCTCTTGCAAATAAGCCCAGTCATGCTCTATTTTTAATGCATTTTAGATGTCTGTTCTGCCAAAGAACTGTCCCTGTAAAAAGAAGTCAGACACCGGAACCTCACGCAGGAAGGCGATGAGTGCGTGGGCTGGGCCGGGAGCCGGCGGCAAGAGAAAGCGGGTCCGGGTGTCGTCCCTCCGGCCCAGGGGGGCAGTGAACCTACGTGTTCACACCTAGAGGAAGACGGAAGTTCCTGTAGCACCGCCCTGTGTAGGCAGAGGAACCTGCTCCCGCCTCCAAATTTGCCCAGCAAGTGAGGACCCCCATGGATGCTTCTTGCCTGACCCTGGGTCCCACCGACTCAAAGCCACGAGTGCGGGGCCTGGAGGGGTGGACCCGCCAGGGGAGGCCTGCCTTGCCCTGGGGCACTGGGCCAAGCCATGGTCCAGCAGAGGGGCCGTGGCAGGAGAGGCTCTGCAGTGAGTCACCTTTCGCTCTCTCCAGGTAAAGAGCCAAAAGCCCGCTTGCTCGCCCTCCGCCCCTGACTCTGTGTGTTCTGCCTTGCAGTTCTTCCCCTACGGCGACGCGTCCAAGTTCGCGCAGCACGCCTTCCGAACCTTCGACAAGAACGGGGACGGCACCATCGACTTCCGAGAGTTCATCTGCGCCCTGTCCATCACCTCCAGGGGCAGCTTCGAGCAGAAGCTGAACTGGGCCTTCAACATGTACGACCTGGATGGCGACGGCAAGATCACCCGAGTGGAGATGCTGGAGATCATTGAGGTGAGACCGGGGCCTGGCCAGGCCTGGGGCAGCCTCCTCAGGCACCGGCCGACAGTGGCTTCTCTGTTGCGCTGACAGGAGCACCCCGGCTGCACACCAAGCCCTGTCTTCTCTGGCCTGGGTGCCCTGCGCCCTGCAGCTCCCTGCCCACAGTCACAGGTCCGGGCTGTCCGGCCCTGCCAGTCAACAGAGGGCGCTGTAAGCCTGGGCAAACAAGGCTTGCTGGGCAGAGCGTGTGCTCAGGGTCACTGCAGCCTATCCCTTGCATAGCTCTGTTCTGCTGGACACGACACTCTCTTCCTCACAGCAGCTCCTTGGGGTGGGCAGCCCAGGCCTCCAGGGGCCCCCGGTGCCTCCTTCCAGGCTCCCACCACGGAACAGGGAGCAGCAGTCTCTCTGTTGTTTTCAGGCATCGCCGGATTCCTCTTCACTGCTCCGACCTCCACCCACCACTCCCTCTCCCTGCAGGCTGCGCTCCTGACCCACAGCCTTTCTGGACTCCCACTAACGCTCACTCCTGCCACGGGGCTTCTCTTCCTCTCCCGCCACCTCCCAAGGGTTCCTCTGTCTCGCCTCACCCCGGCAGCTCCGCGAGGCCCTCCTTCCCACATCCCTACCCAAATGTGCCCTCCCCATCCCCTCCCCAATGCAATCTCAGCTCTCAGCCAAAGGGATTTCTGCCCCAGCGGTGGCCCCTGCCCCACAGTACCTGGCACCGGAGAGTGCATGGTGGATTGGGAGCTCTGTGAGAAGGACCCAGCTTGCTCACTGCTGTATCCTGGGAACCTAAAACCATGTCTGGACTCCAGCAGGCACTCAGCAGTTGGTGCATGGCTCTGGGACTGTTCTCTGCGTGTGTGCCCACCCCTGCACCAATCACTGTGACTGAAGGGGTGAGAAACACGACTCACCATAGGCAAGACCCGGGTGTTCCCTTCTGCAGATATCCCAGGGCTGGCATTCATGGAGGGTAGCCAAGACCCAAGTAACGCGAAACTGCTCTCACTCTGCCTCCTGCTGCACACACAAAAGGCTTCTTGCCTGCCCCTGAAGCTGAGCTCTTCTGATGCCCCCTCTTTGGGCATTTGTGGTTTGTTCTCCTCTTCCTGTGGCTCCTTCTCCTCTTAGCTTCAATGCCTACATCCTTCCAACACACCCAGCAAACAAACACCTTAGTTCTCCATTTGCATGACCTTCGTTCAATTGAATAAACCCTTCCAAATTATTAGAAAAGATAAAACAATCATTCTGAATAGATGGCTTCATTTTCTCATCTTCCTCATCCTTTAATTTTTGTCCATCTTCCACACTCCACTTGCCTCTTTCCAAGGTCTCTTTGACCTTCCTACAAAATAGGTTTTTCCAAGTTTATTCTTCTCTTTGACTTCTTGCCGTTTTTCCCCACTGAGGGTCAGTCTTTTCCTCCCAAAAGTCTCCTCTCTCATCCTTGTCGATGCCCTTCAGCCAAAGACCACCAATAACACGCCTGCGAAGTTAAACAACTTGAACCTGTACCCCTGTAGTGAGGGAGCAGTGGCAGGTGTTCCAGTGAGAGGATGATGGGACTCACAGGATCCCAGCTTTGGTTGGGTGGATTGGGAAGTGTCCAGGGAAGCAGGAGTCTGCTCTGGACTGGCTACTGCCAGGGAGTGGGGCCACTTGGATGATTGTGAATCAATACAGCTCAAGTACAACCAGGGCAAACTAGACCAAGCCTGGGGCTCTGATCGGTGCAGCAGCAGCAGCAGAAGCAGAAGCAGCTACTCAGCATGGAGCTTGGCATTTTGTGGCTTAGACAGTGTTTTGTCTGTATCCAGACATAATTACAAAGCAATCTTATTTTTGCCTCGCTTGATTATAGTCACAGGTGTTCCATGAAATGGTTTATGTTTGATGGGAGAACATGAAGACCTCGTTGTAAGGGCCAGGCCAGCTCACGGCAGGACAAGGCAGGCCCAGGGGACAGGACCAGGCCAGCAGTGCTTGTCCTTCTCGGTCCTGAGGATGCCCCAGGCCGCTCCACATCTCTTCCTCATCCTTCCAGCTCTTTCTTACTTTCTCCTCCTAACAAAGGGCATTCTGGTAGGAGGCTTTTATGCACTGAAAACTCACCTTATGCGGGTCCCAGTTTCCTGCTTCTTGGTGTGCCTCATGAACCTTAATGGTGTTTGGACCTTATGAGTGTTATAACAGCTGGACTTTAATGTCCTTGTCTACAGTGTGCTGGGATTTGTTTTGACAGGCAGGCATGATACATGCAGTTGCCCCAAGGCTGTTTATCGGTTTTGTCAGGGCAGATGGAGTAGGATTTCTTTGGAAGTAGTTAGCCGTGTTTCTACTCTGGGGCTATTGTGGGGTCTATATTGAGTAGTCAGATATTGTGAGGTCTCTCTACTCTGGTTGGGAAATCGCCATGTGTGTGGTGGGGCTGTTCTGGCTAAATGGACAAAGGCATGCAGGGGTATAGATGAAAACGAGGTTTGCCGAGGGCTGGGCTCTGGGGCATGGTAATGTTTAGAGGAGAGGAACGCAAGGAGCCATCCTCAAAGGAGACTGAGGAAGAATGGTCAACAAGACCAAAGTCAAGAAGGTGGTGTGAGGGGTAGTTTGGCTGAGAGGTTAAGATTGTGCTTGGGATGCCCACATCCCACGTTGAAGTGCTGGGTTTGAGTCCTGACTCCACTCCTGACTCCAGCTTCCTGCTAACGTGTACCCTGGGGGCAGCAGCTGCTCACTGGGGACACTGGGGGCCCCTGCTACTCACATGGGAGGCCTGGATTGAGTTCCAGACTCCTGGCTTCAGGCATCCCAGCAGTTTCAGGAATTTGGGGAGTGAATTAACAGGTGGAAGATTCTCATTCATTCTCTCTCTCTTTCTTCTCCCTTTCAAATAACTAAAATAAATAAGCTTTTAAATAAGAGTGAGGAGGGCTGGAAGGGAAATAAAAAGACGTTTCTCGGGGGAAGGGGCCTGCTATCACATCCAATGCAACTGGCAGAAGCAGAACAAGGAGTAGTAGTTGGCAGGTGGATTTGGAACCCCGAGGTGGCTGGCGGGCTGCTCAGGAGTGGTTTCAGCAGCCTGTGGGGCAGACTCCTAGTTGGAGCCCCCAGGGGAACAGGGGTGGGGGCTGTGCAGACAGTGACTACAGAAGCAAGAGGCTTTGCTTGAAAAGGAAGAGGAGTGGGCAGTGAACCCCTGCTGGTGCTCAGCCAGCTCTCTCCCCTCTCGCTGGTTAGAACTAGAATGTTCTGTAGCCTCCTGTGCGGGCTGAGGGGTGAGGGGTGAGGGTTGTCTGTGGAGCTGCTCCTCCAGCACAGCCTGGTGTCAGAGGAAGGTTAAGGAGCCCCGAGACAGACGTCTGGAGATCTTTGCGCAGCTCCCTCCTCTCCAGTCCTCGGCCAGTTCTGGCTGGCTCCACCTTCCCACTCAGACCGCTGCCTCCTGGAGTCAGTCTTGCCCTGTGCTGCTCCCGGGCAGGAAGCTGCGACCTCTCCTTTGTGCCCTCCTCCTGGGACTGCAGCCAGCTGCCAGGTGTGAGGTATGAAACAGCTGCTCCCCGTATTCTTGCGCACGCTCCTAGTGTATGATGTCCAGGTGGGGGACAGGCATGTTTCTCAGAGTTCTGGAGGCTGGCAGCAGGACTCCAGGTGCCCCCAGCTCTGGCGAGGGCCCTCTTCCTGCCTCACAGGTGGTCTTCACCTGGTGTGGGGGCAGGGCAGCCGTCTCGAGCCTCCTCTAAAGGCATCAAGCCGTGCATGGTGGCTCCATCACAAGTTCACCAAAGCATCCGACATCTTCACTTGGGGATTAGCTTTTCATGTACAGATGGGGGGGCGGGGTACACGTGTTCAGTCCCCACAGAGCCCTGTGCTGCTACTTCCTGCCGTGGGGCTTCCAGCAGCCAGGCCTTGGCGTCCTCATGGGTTGATCGGTGATAACTGCCCCGCATCTGTGGGAACTGACCGAGGCTTCCGGCACCTGTGCAGTGCTCCCTTCCATCAGCACTCAACGGCTGGCAGGTGTTTCTCTGCTGTCTTTAGGCTTCTGCTTCTCACCTTTCGCCTGCACTCCTGCACAGTTTCCTGCCACCTGCTGCCTCGTTTCTGAACTCCTGGTTCATGGCCAGCGCATCAACACACTTAAAGTGACAGTCTCATTATGGCATTGCTGGTTTTCCTTTGGCCAAAATGCTTCCCCTGGCACAGGTCTCTGCAGCTGCTCTTACTGTGATCGGCTTCTCTCATCCCTCCTCCAGCTCCTCTGCCTGCCTCTGGTGCCTCCCCCTGCACTCCTGCCTGGGCACTGGTGTTCTCAGCACTTCCTCTTCCTGGAATGTCCTTAGCAGCTCTGTGCCCATCAAGGTCTAGGTTATCTTGTCTCATCCAAGCCTTCTTGGCCCACTTCACTCCAGGGTTCTCCATCCCACTATGGGCTCCTGTAGCCTGCAGCTGATCACTCTGTAGGGGTTGGCCTTTCTACCTCGTGTTAAAGACACAGACATGAAAACACTCCAGGAGCTCACTGACTGAGGGCTCCTGCCCAGAGTGGTAAACAGGCCACGGCAATGGAGTGAGGAAGGCGCTGAGAAGAGGGGCAGGGTCGGTGAGAGAAAAGAGCAAGGAGCTACACCACCCCACTGAGGGAACGTGTGTCTTGTGGGAGTGTTGGCTACAGGTCTAAAGGGTCTACAAGTTCTAGATGAATGAACGTTAATGGTTTCTTTTTAGGAAAGCAGGTGTGGTGACATCTCTTGATCGCAGACAAGTTTCATGCTAGACTTTTTGGTCCACACTAGGAGTACCCACATTGAAGCTCATGTGCCTGGAGGGTTTCTGTAGATCCCTGGGGGCCATGTTCATCTTCACTTCTGGGTCTGGCAAGATCTTGACCGATGTTGATGTTAAGTGTACGAATCTGCATCTGGAACATGGTCCACAGGGCAGGCTTGCATTTTGGATACAGTTAATGAGACCTTGCCATCTTCAGAATCGCTAGCTGAGGTCTCTGTGTTTACATTTTTTTTATTACCCTGACTTTATTAATAGGATATTTATTTTGCTAATTGTCTTTATAGCCATTGCTTCCTGTAAAGTCTTTTGGCTTCCTGTTTGAAAGGACAGAGAGTGGCAGCTCACATGTTGATGACCCATTTGTCTCTTTTTAAATTCTAGGCATACTGTGCAGTCTCTGCTTTACCCTCCTGCACCACTCAGGCTACCAGGCTAACCTGGACCCTGACTATCAATGGCCCATGGAATGAAATTTCTTTTTTCTTTTTTTTTTCTTTAAGATCTATTTATTTGTTCAAAAGGCTGAGTTACAGAGAGGCAGAGGCAGAGAGAGAGAGAGAGATTGAGAGAGAGAGAGAGAGGTCTTCCATCTGCTGGTTCACTCCCCAAATGGTTGCAATGGGTGGAGCTAGGCCAATGAGAAGCCAGGAGCCAGGAGCTTCCTCCGGGACTCCTATGTGGGTGCAGGGGCCTAAGGCTTTGTGCCATCTTCTGCTTTCCCAGGCCATCAGCACAGAGCTGCAGCGAAGTGGAGCAGCCAGTTCTCAAACTGGTGAACATATGGGATGCCAACACTGCAAGAGGCAGATTTACCTGCTAGACCACAGCGCCACGCCTAGAATGAAATTTCAATAGTCTACCTCTTTCAAAGACAAATTTTTACATCTTCTCCCCCATAAATTAACATAATCCAGTTATGAAAATGATCACACACAAATATTGTATCTCATGGACATTTAAACTTGCTTAATTATCATTTAAACTTTCTAATTATCCTTTTTAAAACAAACTTAATGAATTATAATTTATGCACCATAAATTCACCCATTTTAAGTGAACAGTGTAACACTTTTTAAACTTAAGGAGGTATGCAACCCTCACCATAATCCAATTTTAAAACATTTTCACTCCCCCAGAAAGACCCCTTTCCCCACCTGCCTGTTCCCAACCCGACTCAGGCAGCCATATTCTGCCTCCCTGACTTGGCTCTCAACAGTTAGTCTCTCCCTAAACTAACTTCTTTCAGAGCTCAATTTTAGCAGCACACCTGGCTTGCTTGCCTTAACAGATTTTAAGTTCTTATCAGGTTGGACCACATTTCATCTTTTCCACATTCTCTCAGACTGGCACTTGTTGATTGTCATCTACACTTCAAATTCAGTGTGTTTGAGACTGAATGCCTCATTTTCCTCCTCGAGCCTGTTTTTCAATCCATGATTTTTTTTTTGGCTAGGCAGAGTTAGACAATGAGAGAGACACAGAGAGAGTTATAGACAGTGAGAGAAAGAGAGAAAGGTTTTCCTTCCGTTGGTTCACCCCCCAAATGGCTGCTACAGCAGGTGCGCTGCGCCGATCTGAAGCCAGGAGCCGGTGCTTCCTCCTGGTCTCCCATGGGGTGCAGGGCCTAAGCACTTGGGCCATCCTCCACTGCCCTCCTGGGCCACAGCAGAGAGCTGGACTGGAATAGGAGCAACCGGGACAGAATCTGGCACCCCGACTGGGACTAGAACCCTGGATGCTGGTGCCACAGGTGGAGGATTAGCCTAGTGAGCCGCGGCACCAGCCCCAATCCATGATTCTTGATCTCACCAAAGAGCCACCTTTTCTATCCATTTCCTCCTGCCAGAAACATGGAGTCATCTTCTTATATCACACTGGTCACAAGGCTTATACATATTAGGTTAAATCATTCTCTTACTGAAAACCATTTAAGGAGTCTTTAAAACACATTTAAATTCCCTGTCGTATATAAGAATTTTATGTTCTGCATCTTGCCTCCCTCTCTCTGGGTTCATCTGTTTTATTTTTTTAAAAGATTTATTTATTTGAAAAGCAGAGTTAGAGAGACAGATATCTTCCATCTACTGGTTCATGCCTCAATTGGCTGCAACAGCTAGAGCTGGGCCAGGCTGAAGCCAGGAGCCAGGAGCTTTATCTGAGTCTCCCATGTGGGTGCAGGGATCCAAATACTTGGGCCATCTCCTGCTGCTTTCCCAGGTGCATTAAAAGGGAGCTGGACTGATAGTGGAGCAGCTGGGACTTGAACTGGTACCGATATGGATTCCAGCATTGCAGGCATCATCTTAACCCACTGCACCACACTGCCGGCCCCTCCAGTTTCCTCTTCCACGAGCACCTCACTTGGCCATTCCTCCTACTGCCCCCTCTCCTCACACCCATGCTGCAGCAAGTTACAAGCATGTTGTTTTTATTCAATCCATATTCATTAAAAGTTACCATGTGCCAAGCCTGAAGTCACAGGAGTAAGTAAAGTTCACAGCTCCTAGCTTCATAGAACATACTCTCCAGTGGGGAAGACAAAGCAGTTATTGTAATAAAGTGTCAGATGTATTCAGATGGGGGGGGAGTGGTATGGGTTGCCATGGGAACTAGAAGCACAGGGAATGAACTTCTTCTGGGGAAAGAGAAGCTGAGCTCGGAGGAGGAGCAGGACCCACTCAGGTGAATACCATCTTCTTTCTCCCAAGGCTATCTACAAAATGGTGGGCACTGTGATCATGATGAAGATGAATGAGGATGGTCTCACGCCTGAGCAGCGAGTAGACAAGATTTTCAGCAAGATGGATAAGAACAAAGACGACCAGATCACGCTGGATGAATTCAAAGAAGCTGCAAAGAGCGACCCTTCCATTGTTTTACTTCTGCAGTGCGACATCCAGAAATGAGCTGATGTCAAAGCTATGGACTGCACAGAAGTCTCAATGTTCCATTCAGTCTGCAGCTATACACACACACACACACACACACACACACACAATATTGCTTGGACTACCTATAAATGGACTTGCTTCTTGTGTTTGAAACACTTGTGTGCATGAGAATGTCATTTGCTAATGAATTTTAAAATCATATATTATAAAATGAGACAAACAGACAACCTGCCACAAAGTGATCTGTGTAATATCATTTCATAAAAAAACAACCTTCTTCCCCCAAAGCCTGGGCAGAAATGTGCTGCAAAGAGCTCTATGATTTCTTGTACATGTTTTGCTAATGCTCGTGTCTCCTTGATTACATAATGTTAGTAGCACTGAGACCCTCACAGTAATGTAACTCAATTAAATTATGCTGTGTCGCCACTCTCCTGTACAATAATGCCAGACGGACGTACAGAGGGGCCCTTGGCTCCTGTGTCTGGTCCACACACGAGAGCTTCCATCATCGGTGAATATAAATATACTACATTTGCATGCCTTTTGGGTTTGCCTTAATTCTTACCTCATTTGCATCCTATCAATCTGGAAAGAGCTGTGGTGGATGAATGCAGTATAAAACTTAAAAACCCTGCTAAATGACTCATAAGTATTATCTATCTATATATACATATACACAAAGATATTAGTTATTGAAAGTAAAAAACAAAGATGGAAGTGTGTTGATTTCTGCTTGTTTTCAGAGGCTTCCAAAGAAGTGGCAAAAGATGTCCCAAATACATTTATAATGTTTGATTTCCCCTGTAATTCTTAAAGTTTTAAATTTGAAGCAGGTGTTCATAATAGCCAAGGGTCAGCTAGCAAGGACTTACTAACTCTACCCTTAAACACACAGCTTTGAAGAGTGAATGACAACAAAGCAACTTTCCAACTTTTTAATCCAGGCCCCCAAAAAAGGGACAATTCATACGGCATGTAACAGTTAAAGAAAACAGAAGACTTGTTCATTCTGGAAAACATGTACATTATATGAAAATAAACCTTATCTCTGTGTATCTTTGTGCTAATTAAACGCGATGTTCTACGCAGGGATGTGGAGGGCACGCTGCATAGGCTAAGGGCGTTCTCTGAGACAGGCCAGTAGGACGGAAGACTTCTGCCTTCTGACTCTGGCTTCTTATTTTTAATGATGGAGTAAAACCCTGACCCTCTTGAGGAAGGAAGCAGGGAGACTGCATCCCAAGTGCTGGCACTTTCAGGACGCACCGGGAGAAGCCAGTGTCTTCACACGATGCTGCACTCCGGGCGACGGAGAGTCTCCATCAGTGCTGTCGTCCACCTACGAGTGGTTATTGGCCAGTGTGACTGAGGAGGTGACTCTACAATTTCATTTTAATTAATTACATGTGCTATGCGTAGCTAGCAGGTATCATGTCAGACATCCCAGTGCTACATTCTTCCTTGAAGTACTTATTACCCAAGGCCTTTTTGCTAATCTTCTTCCTTTGTCATGAACGACACTAGAGACCAGGGCCTGCAGGGTCCCTTCATTCGCTCAACAAGAAGCTAATCAAGCAAATTTCACTATGGGCACTTAGGATACCAGTGGTGCCTGAAACTGACAGAACCCAAATTCTGCCCCCAGAGAGCAAGGCCCCTACTCTAACAGAATGTCCTGGTACCCTTAACCCCTGAGCAGAGCAAGCCCCAAGTGTACACAAGAAGAAACTAGGGAGCATCCGTCCCTCCCAGTGCTCTTCCCTCTGCTAAGAAAGGGTGGGGTGGGTGTCATTCATATCACATCCTCATTGGTCACAGACGTGCACCCAACACCGTTTCTGTGCATCTATGTGTGGGGGTGCAGTCACTAAACACACAGATTGCAAGAACTATGAAGAGCACAGCCAGGTAAGAGCGAGAGTGACAGGACAAGGCAGGGGCTCTTCGCAGAAAGGTGCTAAGGGGCACTTGAAGTAGGACATTCTCGAAGGGAAGAAGCTAACCTATAGGCATCTGGGGCTCTTGTGGAAAACAAACCCAGAGCAGAGTCACCGGCTGTTTTTATCAACAACACAGGGATCGGGCCAGCAAGTGAGAACCTTGTTATTTGCATGTGTTCATTCTCACTGCTGGGCAGTGTAGACTGGTGCAGTGATCCTGGAGAGAAGTCCAGCAGTGCTTAGAGTTAGACCTCTGCCCCAGCACTCTCACTCCTGGGGATACTGTCCCAACTCTCACAGACAGCCGCAAGGGGGAAATGGCCCAGGACATCAGTGCTGGCTCCATCTGTGGTGTGGCTGTTCAATGTGACCTCGAGGTGCCTTGCTGGAGGAGTAGGTAAGTACAACGCAATGGATTCCACACTACACACCACCTGGAAACAACGGAGGTACACACAACAAGGTGAACAAGTGTATAAAATGCCAAGTAGAGTAGAAGGAATAAAATCCACTGCACCATTTGTTATTTCATATATATTATGTATGTGAAAAATACACTCACAAAAGGGAATATCCCATTATAATGGTTTCTATGGGGGGAGTGGTAACGGGAGTGATTCTGTTACTATGTCGCTGTAACAACTCAACCCCCAAACCTAATGGCTTGAAAGAAAAACAATGATTTCACTCTTACGCATGGTGTCCAGGGGTCAAGGAAGTTAAGAAAGGCCTCACGGATGACTCTGGTTTGGGGTCTCTGGGATAGCTGTACTCAGGTGGCAACTGGAGGCTGACTGGGGATCCATTCTTTCGGTCTCAGGACTTCTGTACCTGGGTGGGCCTGTGCTCCCTCCCAGCACGGCAGCCTCAGGACAGTCCCAAGGCTCACCTGGTGGTTTGGGACCCCAGCACAAGTGTTCATGCATAGTTGCAAGCTTTATCTTTTCTGACCTAGCCTCAGGAGTCAGGAAGTATCACTTCCACATTTCATCAGTTAGAAGAGTCACAAACCCATCCGTATTTGAGAAGGCAGTTAGACTCCATTACTTTTTGAGTGAGGCCTGACAGAGACTGCTGTCACCATCTTTAGAAAAGTCTGCCACAGTCTGTCTGCAGTCACGATTCACCTGCCTTCCCATGCAGGATGTGTTCACCCCCTGGCAAGAAACCACACAGGTCCCATACTTTCCAGTCAGGGGTCAGGCCTCGGGGCTCCCCGTCCAGGGCTCCTCAGATGTGCTTCCTCAGGAATGGCTAAGGGCATTGTTGCTCCAAAGGCAGTGAACCGAAGGGAGAATTATCTCAGTCCGCTGCCCCCCACACAACATAGCATCATTGTGTAGATGTAGAATAACAGCAATGGACACACACATTCCAAAAAGGGGGCAGTGACAAGGTCCATGGCAATTTTGAAATCCAGACAAATACATCTTGTAAGTCCCTTGACTGGGGCTCAGTCCTGCACCTGGGGTTGTTCTCCATGCCTTTGTGCTCTGCCTTCTGTGTTCCTCTGAGCTATCTTCTTTTCATAATAAAAAGTCTGTTTACACAGGAGTGGTTTTCTCAGTCTCCTGCCAGCCATAAAAGCTTGGAAGTATAGACTGCTTTTCATTTTGTACTGTCCCTCTTTCAGTCTAAGCAGATACAATTCTTTTTAAAAAGATAGACATTTCTTATGCATCAACTTATAAAACCTATGAGGTTCATTATGAGATTGCTATGGAACAAGACCCCTGATAGTATTGAAAGTCCTATTGTTTAAAGAAAGAATTTAAGACACACCTTTAGGTTGTATCTGAAAAGCTCTAAAAACACTAGCTTAGGTGTTGAGGTACTGAAAAAGAATCTCATAGCCCCAGCCTGGATTTAATTTTTGCACTGAAGCCATTTCACAATTTGAAAATCATTTGCCAACCTTAGAGTTTGAGAATGAAAAGCATCCTGGCTTCCTTCCATGCAATCATTTGTCATTTAGTTCATCTCTCACATTTTGCTACAGGTAGCTAGAGGCATCCAGGGGGTACTTCTCATTTTCAATCTAGACATCTCCTTAGCTGGATCATGTGGCTTATTAGCTACATTTCCTATCTTCCATTATTACCATGGCATCAAGTCGATACACTCTCCACTACTAAACAATGGTCTCCTTTTCTCTCAGGTCTAGTTGCATCTTTAGTCCTCACAGAAAGCATTCTTGAGACTCCAGGCTTGTTAACATTTTCAGGAAAGCCCTTTAAACCCATAACCTATCTCCCCAAGACCCTCAAGCAAGTGCTGTGTGGTTTAGATTATTCTGGTACCTATTCTAGTTTCCAAAACCTGTTCTGGGGCCACCACTGTGGCACAGAAGGTTAACACCCTGGCCTGAAGTGCCGGCATCCCATAAGGGCGCCGGTTCTAGTACCGGCTGCTCCCATTCCGATCCAGCCCTCTGCTATAGCCTGGGATAGCAGAAGATGGTCCAAGTCCTGGGGCCCCTGCACCCACGTGGAAGTCCTGGAAGAAGCTCCTGGCTCTTGACTCCTGATCTGCACAGTTCCAGCCATTGCGGCCAATTGGGGAGTGAACCATCGGATGGAAGACCTCTCTCTCTCTCTCTCTCTCTGCACCTCCTCTCTATGTGTAACTCTGACTCTCAAGTAAAAAAATAAATAAATCTTTAAAAAAAAACCTGTTCTATTTTTTTAAAGATTTATTTATTTGAAAGACAGAGTTAGAGAGAGGCAGACGGAGAGAGAGGTCTTCCATGTGCCCAGCACCCACATGGGATTCCAGCGCTTCAGGCCAGGGCTTTAACCTGCTGCACCACAGCGCCGGCCCCTCTTATTACTGTTGCCATGTAACAAATCACCCCAAAATTTAGTAGTTTAAGATAATTCTGGTTTTTGTGGCCATGTATTAGTGTGTGGAGAGTTCTGGCTTGGTATCTTCCATCATTAAAGGTAGATGATGGATCAGCTGAGGGCTGGCCTGACCTCTCCCTGTGGTTTCTCCACACAGGAAAATTAGGTTTCCACATTATGGGGCAGCCTCAAGAAAACCAGGTGGGTTTCATGACAGCATGGCGAGCCATTTAGAACGCCAATGAGTATTCTAGAGATCAAGGCCATTTTATTACTATTATTATTCTCTTTATTTGAAAGGCTATTTACAGAGAGAGATCTTCAATCTGCTGGTTTACTCCCCAACTGGCAGCCAACAGCGGGAGTTGAGCCAGTCGGAAGCCAGGAGCCTGAGCTTCTTCCGGGTCTTCCGCATGGGCACAGGCCCAAGTCCTTCGGCCATCCTCTGCTGCATTCCCAGGCACATTAGCAGCGAGCTGGATCAGAAATAGAGCAGCCAGGACTCGAACCAGCGCTCATATGGGATGTCAACATCACATGCGGAGGCCTTACCCACTACGCAATGCTGGCCCCCTCATTGCCTTTTCTGACCTAGCCTTGGAAGTCACAGTCTATTGGTTAAAAGTGAGTTACAATGTGCCCAAGTCATGGAGAAGACAGTTGGATTCTATAAGACAAGGAAAGCACTTGGGAGGAATCTATTTTGGCCATATTAGGAATATAGTCTGAGACAGGGAATGAAGAATGGAGATGTTTCAGCAGCTTTTAAGTCTCCTCTGTGGAACACCAAGTAGGAAAATAGCTCCAGAAATAGATGTATTTAATTCTATTTCATTAAAATGGCAGTCTACATTGTAACTGGTTTTCCTGAGGCCATCTTTATAAGAATCTGTGTGAAATAATTCATGTTTTTCTACCAGACATAGGGAAAGCAATCTGATCTGGAAGACTGCATGTTTCAGACAAATGTAGTCGTGACGCGGTGTTGCGGCTCCCGTGTGCTAATGCTGTGCGCCTGGATTTAGTGTGAAAACATCCACGACAAATGCCAAGAAGTGTTCCCTGCCAGGCCAGCTCTTAGAACTTTAGACACCACGACTTCCACTCTGGTGGTTATGTCGTAGCCCCAGGGCCCTTCTCTGTGAGGATGGGAGGGGTGGCCTCAGAGAGAGCTGCCCCTGTGTCCCTACTGCAGGGGGTGCTGAGGGCATATCAACCTCTGTTTTAAAACAAAACAACGTGAAAACAGTCATAGTTGAACAGCTGCATTTGAAGTTATGATCACTAAGTCTATTCATAGTACCAGAACTACTGTACTAGAAGTAGTTTTTTTGTGTTATAAAGGTTTCATTTTATATATGGCAGTTACTTAATGCAATTTTTAACCCTTTAAGGTAAATGGGACAGATGTACATAGTTGTTCGCAATGCCATGAAAGCATTTCCTTTCTCCTGAGGAAAACTGAATTTCTTAGACTACCTGGCTGGCCTTGTAATTTAAATTAAAATAAAATTTTGGAGAAACAAAACAAAACAAAAATTTCAAAGTATTATATGGGGGCTGGTGCCATGGCACACTAGGTTAATCCTCCGCCTGTGGCGCCTGCATCCCACGTGGGCGCTGGGTTCTAGTCCCGGGCTGCTCCTCTTCCAGTCCAGCTCTCTGCTGTGGCCTGGGAAGGCAGTGGAGGATGGCCCATGTGCTTGGGCCCCTGCACCTGCATGGGAGACCAGGAAGAAGCACCTGGCTCCTGGCTTCAGATCGGCATAGCTCCGGCAGTTGCGGTCACTGGGTGAGTGAACCAATGGAAGGAAGACCTTTCTCCCTGTCTCTCCCTCTCACTGTCTGTAACTCTACCTGTCAAATAAATAAATAAAATCTTAAAAAGAAAAAAAAAAGTATTACATGGGCCAATGCTGAAGGTGAGCCATGAACTGAGGTGTATGTTTAACCCAACAGTGCAACTGAGTGCCATCTAAACATACAGGCTGCCACAGGGCTCCTCGCCAGCCTCTGTATCTCCAACAGCCAGCGGTTCCTGTCTGAAGGACTAACTACAGGCATCCTCTCACTCAAGCGGCCCTAGGTTCTAATGGCTATTGTTCACATGCAGGGGCCATCTTAATTACTGTACTGATTAGCTATTTAATCCCTCTAAAGGGAGAATGTCCCTAAGTATCTTTATTTTCTAGCGTCAACTCTTTCTGCATTTGTGAGTCCTAAGTTTACATATTCCCTCTCTATTTATTGAACTCCAAACTTTACACGAGAGGAAAATCAGCTTGCTCTAAGGCTTCATTCTTTCTGTAATTCATTCAGGATCTGTATCTGGATGAATACAAACTCCTTTCTTAGATGCTTCACTTTCCATAGCCCGAAACCAAGAAGTAAAGCCTGGGCTCAGATGTCTTCAGAGAGGTTTACAGTGAAGTCCAGCAAGGCACTGAGAGTCAACCAAAACTTCTAAGTAGACTGACACCCGGCTTCCTCAGCTCCTTTCTCATAAACTAAGCTTTTCAACAGTATGGATTTTCCCCAGCATTTTGCTGATTTCCAGATTGCTAGGCCATGTTACTGTTTTCCAAGTTCTTAACACTGATCAAGCACATGAGCAACTAAACTGCTATCTCAAGTAACTAATGTTTGAGTAAATATTGACTATCACATTCTCAGTCAGCTGCCCCTGCACTGCCCTCCACTCTGCATCTTCGCTATCTCTGTAGATAGCTTTATTCCGCATCCACTTACTTAGGCTCCAGGCCCCAAGGCAGTAATCCATGATTCCTCTCAAACTCCAGTACTCTGATCGTAAGTCCTGCTGACTCTACTCCAAATCTGCATGCTTCTGTCTCCACCACCTTAGTCCAAATCACTGAGATCTCTTAGCTGGACCACTGCAAGTCTCAATCGCTCACTGTATTTTTTGCCTCACTCTAATCTACTCACACAGCAGGTGTGATTCTCTTAAAATGCTTGTCTGACAGGTCTAAAACACCTGGTTTAGATCTCACATGATCTTGTTTCTTACTACTTCTGAACCTGTGTTCACAAAGCTCTACAGACTGGCCTTAGGATTCCTATGCACGAAGTTCTTTCTCACCACAGCAACTGTGCACCAACTTCCAATGCCTGGAATTACTGCCCTATATATGTTCCCAAAGCCTGCCATTTCAGACCTCTGCTCAAATACTTTTTCCAAGTCTTCCTTGAACACTTCCCCTAAAATACCACTCCTCTCCAGTCTCCTCTAATCCTTAGTCTGCTTTATTATTCACAGGAACTACCATGATCTGAAATGATACAGGGCCTTATATCTAACTAATTTTAAGCTCCCCAACAGCAGCTTCAATATCACTCACTGTAGTATAAAACAGACCCTAGCACATGACACGAACTTAATACTTTTGAATTGCTTAATATCTATATTCTTAACTGGAGAAAAACTACACAGCAAAAGCCTTCTTAAGCTTGCTATTAGAGCATAGACTCAAGTCACTTCTGTTGCTGGGAATTCTACCCAGATGCTCATTGCAAGACTAAACATTCAATTATCAATATTACTGAGAATTAAAGAAAATGCCATGTGCTGACTCAAAGAAACAATATTTAAATCTATATTATTCCTTTACCAATCCTGTCCTTATGCATGCAATGTTTTGATAATTCTTCAAGCCCGAGGACTTTTAGTTCAAATTACAAAACATCAGTAATGGTTTAAACTTTTAGGGTGGTTAAAAGTTTCAAACCAATGTCCTGAAAACCTGCATGGTCAAAGCAGAAGGCATCTTTGTGAATGTGTAAGCCATGAATCTAATCTTACTGCCTCATGGCATCAGGGACACTATCATCCTCCCTGCATCTAACATGCACTCAGAAATTTTCATCATTCTGATTTCTTGTTTACATCACAGTCAGCATTTCTGATCCTGAATCCCAGCTGACAGTTTCTGACAAAGAATTTAAGCATTTTGATCTCCATACATAAACAGCACAGACATTTTGAAGACATTAAAAAAAGGTACTAGGAGATAAAAGGGAGAAATAAAATTTTGGAGAATATTTAAGATAATACCTGAATCTTTTGTTATCAATTTGAGAAAGTATATAGTATTCATACCTTTCTTTACTTGGTTTGCTTTACTTTGGTTTTTGTCATTCCGAGATTGATTTTAATCATTTCCATCCAGATTTGAGAAGGGAAAACTTAGGATTCAAGCCTGTTTCCCAGTTACTTCAGTCATAGCTGCAGGGATAACTAGGTTTGAAAGTAGCCTTTGTGATGCATTTAAGTCACCACTCCTAGGGAGGCTAGACATAGTTAATTAACACTATCTTACCCAATTCACAAAAGCATAATCTTAATACATATAAATTAAAATTTTATTTTTGGAAGTTACACATTTTAAAAGGACAATTTCTATTTTTCTAATTACTATTACTAGAATTTAGAACAGTAAATGAATCACTTATGATGGCTCTAAGACCAAAGCAGTGAATATTCTTCAACTCTTTAATCAAAGATTAAATTTCCCATTGTGTATTAAGAAGCAAAACATTCAGAACTATCATAAAAACTCAGACACTGAAATTCTTTAGCTAATAAGTTTATGCATTTGGCATATTCTACTTCCATTTTAAATTTGAAAAAGTACATGTATGTTAAATGATACAAGTCAGTTATAAATATAACTTAAGAATCAGACTTTGTGTGGTCAGTGGGGAATACTTAAAACATTCACCATACATTTTCTTTTTTCTGTAAATTCTTAGAGTAGAAAGCACAAATTTTGGACTTCTTATTTGGCAATTTAAGACTAAATTGGACTCACTCTTTCATCAAAAAAAAAAAAAATCCAGTTTTCCCAACTGCAGAAGTGTCTCTGCTTGTAAAATACTGTTCTTAAAATATTTTCTTCAATTTCATAAATATTTTAATACTTACTGAAATAATATAAGTAATGCTTCCTGTTGATATCCAATGTGTTTAAAAAGTTCAGCTAATCAGGCAGCAATCCTAGTCATTTTCTTTTAAAAAAAAATCTCACAGATGATTTTTTTTTTTTTTACAATATATTCTATGTGATCATTTAAGCAGCACACTTTGTAATATCACCAAGGTCAGTATGTTCTGTAACTGATGTCAGCTCACCAACAGCTTGGCCCTGGGCTATTTTAACCACCAGCTACTCCCACCAGTTCTGCAAGAAGCCACTGTCCACTCCCGATTTTCCCAGCGCTTCTCTCAGTTTGGGCTGCCTGGTGCTTCTGGCCCATCTTCCCTCTCGGATACATCTGAACCTGAAAGCTCCTGCATTGCACACTGAGCAATTACGTAAGCCAGGCAAGTGTTCCCAGGTAGGGTGAAAAACCACGTCATTATCAAGTTTTGACACAGTTACAGGTGCTTAGTTGGGGGAAGGACAGTTCAAGGACTGAGAAAAAAAGCATCATGTAAGAGCTGGCAGTGGCTCAGTGCTTTGTAAAATGTCTTGTAAATGGATATGCAGCATCTTCAACTTGATGAAGTAAAAAAATTAGAAGTTACATATATAGTTGCATCTCTGGAGTTAAAAATTGCCTGGAGGGCAGGATTTTAGACAAGAATGTACAGCCCTGCATAGATCTGATGTAACTAATAAAAACCAAAGTCTGTGGTAAGCCCATCCTTGTCCACAGCCTGCCCTTATACCCCACCCTCTGCAAGGAGAAATTCCTCTCTCACCTGCATTTGATAGTAATACCATAAAATACTTTGGAAAAGCAAAACTATACATAATCAGGTGCTTAAACTTTTATTTTAATTCTTACAAAATACTATATAAATGAACCCAAACCGAACAGATATGTACATGTGCATATGTACAAAATTTTACTTCTGAAAAAGAATCTATAAAAGTAGATGGTAAGAAAAAAAACTTAAAAAGATTGAAAAACGGTACTATGAAATTGATTTCTCAAAGGAAAGTAATAGTAATTTAAAATTGCTGGTTGTACTTGCACTTCTAGGCTTGTTTAGACATTTTATTGTAGACAGAGATATAAAGGAGTTTCTTTTATTCCAGTCTCATTTTATTATGTCATAGTCCAGAATTTTCTTCCCTTTACAAATCTTTCAACATGAAGACAAGAAATGTCAAGTTCCATATCAACTTTGGTCATCTTCTTCCCCTTGAGTCACAGGTCGGAATGGCAACGTAGTCTGTCCTCTTTCTGGGTCAGACATCCGAAGAATTCTAATCAGTTTACTTGAAGGAAGTGAGCTAAAAGAAGCAAAATTAAGAATTCATATGTCTATGAAAATTCTTACCCATTACAAAAAGTTCTAACACTACCACAAGAAAATATAAATCTACATGACTGTTACCCTCTAATAACAGGACTTTATTTTTTTTTTAAAGATTTATTGATTTGACAGGCAGTTAGAGAGAGGGGGAGAATCAGAGAAAGAGGTTTTCTATCTGCTGGTTCACTTCACAAATGGCTGCAACAGCCAGAGCGGGGCGAGCCCGAAGCTAAGACCCAGGAGTTTTTTCCAGGTCTCCTATTCGGGTGCCGGGGTCCAAACACTTGGGCCCTCCTCCACTGCTTTCCCACACACATTTAGCAGAGAACTGGATAGGAAGTGGAGCAGCCAGGACTGGAACCAGAGCTCATATAGGTTGCTGGCATTGCAGGTGGTAGCTTTTACCCACTATTCCACAATGCCAGCCCTTGCGATCTGTCTTACTACTATCTAGAGTTCTAAGGGAGATATAACTTGCAACAAGGAATTAATTTACTTTCACTTAAAAGAAAAAAATCTTGCTAGAGCCCATAGGTTTTTAGTCTGGAGGAAAAACAAAATAAAGGACATTTATATATTGATCATTTTTAACTCCTGTTCTTATCTAGCCCAGAAGGAGTTACCTGACAATTCCCAATCACAAATTTAAATCTCTAAAAGATCACATCACTCTTTTAGACATAGTGACACAGCGCCTAAAACATGAAAGTAACCAATAAATGTTGACTGGCAGAAGAGAAGAAAGTTCTTCATTCAGAAGTATTGGTATTTGTATGTCGCCAAGACTAGAGATATCCTGAATTATTTCTTTAGTCTAAAGAGAATTACTAAAATTACATAAGATGGCCATGATAACCACAAACGAGCAAATTCAAAATAGAAACAGCAACAAGTTGGAGTAGGTGTTTCACACAGTGGCTTGAGTTGTGACTTGCGATGCCCACATCCCTTTTCAGAGTGCCTGGTTCAAGTTATCAGTTTCTCTGCTTCTGAATGAGCTTTTTGCTAATGCACACCTTAGAAGACGCAGATGATGGTTCAAGTATTTGGGTCCCTATCACCCACATGGGAGATCAAGATTCCTGGATTCGGCCTGGCCTAGTTCCTTGATTCAGCCTGGCCTAGCCCTGGCTGTGGTAGGCATTTGGGGAGTGAATCAAAGGATAGGAGATATCTCTTTTCCCTTTCAAATAAAATAAATAAAAAAAAGAAAGAAAAAAAAACAAAAACAAGCCAATCATCATATTCCATTCACTTATTTCAGCTATAAAAAGATAACACAAACAAGATTTTAAATATATGTAACAAAAGTCATCTTAAATCTCCAGATCTAACAGACACTAATTTTTCTTTTCAATGATCATTTATGCATGTGCATTTTACAAATGAAGATTATAAAATATTTCTTTCCCTTTATATACATATGTATTTATATATTAACAGAAAGTTATTAAAAGTTACCTCATGCTTTGAGGTGTAAGCAAGATAAATTGTCTAAAACGCTGGGAATCTGCCATCTTAAGTATCATGTCCATTGCAATTCTCCTATTAACCATATCCTGAAGAACAAAGGAGAAAGTCAGAATTGTGTCAGTCACATTTCTATAAAAGCAGCATTTTGATGGCTGATATCTACTCCAAAATTTTCATCTGGGGCTCATCTAATACCCTTATCTATGACATCAAGAAATGCATATAGTGAAAGAAAAGACAATATCAAAATTATTAGAGGAAAATGATTGAAGAAACATTTATAAATATTCCACATAATTTCTGTAGTCAGAAGTATTTATATTATGGCCCTTCCCTCAAAAAATTGGATTCTAATGATACAACTAAATGCTACAAAATGAATCTAATTTTGGAATCTAAAAGTTTCAGAAAGAAAAAGAAACTGTAAGAAATAAATCTGACCTACAAGATAGGTGAAATGACTCCATGATGCCATTTTGGACAAAAACACTTCATGGCAAGAATAATCATCTTTTCTGATTTGTATCTCAGAGGAGTTTTTAACCCATCTCTCACCATGATATTAGGAAAAATTCGATAGTGAAGACTACACAAAATTCACAAGCTTAAACTCTCACTTGTGAATAGCATTTTCTAAAAGTTCAGTATGGTTAGGCATGAAGATGCCATAAATATAATTAAGACATGGTTGATACCTCAAAAGGGCTATAATATGGTAGGACAGCCAGACATGAAAGCAGGTGACTGCAACAATAAAATAATATATAATAATGTATTTCAGAACGCAAAGATAATATAACATCTGGAGCTGATGTAAGGCAGTGCCAAGGAAACTCTGAGAAGTTCCTAATCCTGCCTGGCAGGGCTCTGCAGTTGGATGTAGAAGGCTGCAGAAAGAAGACATTTGAGTCAAGGCTTGAAAGATTAGCTGAGTTTGATACACAATGAAACAGAGCACACTTGGCAGGGGCATCATGTTTGGAAAACTACAAATAGCTCAGCATAGCTAAAGAGTCCACAGATACTATTATCATGAAAAGCTTCAGATTCATGCTGGAGAATGAAATTTTAATTTTATATATAATAGTCAATCATTGAAGGGTAATCAATTTTACAAATATTAAAATCAGCAGTTTTAACAACAGGGGGTTATAGTAAGCCAAGAAGTGAGAAGTAGTGAGAAGAGTGGGAGAAAACAGTAGAGACCACAGAAAGACTTAAAAGAAGAGCAGAGAGAGGTCATATTTAGTGTGTAAGTAACAACGTGGGAAGATTCAAAGATATAGCACAGTTAGTGATTGGGGCTTTAATAACACCTGCCATTAATCCAGGGACAGAACTCAGGAAAAAGAGGCTTGGAAAGAAAGGTACAGTGACTTTCAGGCACACTGAGTTTAAGATGTTGGCTGTTTACCAGGTCAAGTCTGACAGGTAGAGGGCACCTGGATTTAGAGTACAGAAGAAATGTAAGGATGAGATGCTTCCATTTTGGTGGGTGTTCACTTGCAGGCAGAGGTTTGGGGACTACTACATGCATATAGGGGATAGGGAGGATAGGAGGTATCCAGGAGTAACAGCCACAGCATAACAAGTCAATGAAGCCCTCAATCACTTAAGGGAGGCAGCTTGGAGGACTGAGCACAGGACTAGAACACGGTAATACCAGAAAAGGGGAGATAAGCCTGTGGTACAAAATACTTCAAAGAAATAAAGGAAGATTCAAAGCTCATTTATGACTTTTGCTAAACAAGTTTTGCTGGATCAGAGCAGTCTAAACTCAGATTATAATGGATGTGAGACACAAAGACAGGAAGAGAATAATGAATTACTAGTTCATGAAAACTCAGCAAGTGCCTGCAGCATAGTAACTGCATTACATGCAAGACTTTGCTTGACCTCACTACAACGCTGTGAAGCAGGATGTGTTAGTTATCCTGTCTTATAGAAACTGAGAGCCCAAAAGGATAAATAGCCTGCCTAAAGGCATTGGGTAACCGGTGGCAGAGGTAGGTCTCAAATTCTAGGTTTTAACCTCAAAGTCAAACATGCTTGTAAAAAGTGTGGATGTAAAGGAAGAAAGAGCTAACAGCAGTTAGAGTTGGTCAAAGCAAAGGTGGCGTACTGTGTGAAAATGAGAAAGCTCTCTGAACAAAAATAAGCTAGGAAAGAAGCTAAAGGAAGTACTGTTATCCATGATGGCAGAGAAGATATAAAATCCAGGAGAGAGAGGGTCTCCAGAGGACTGGATGACAGCAAGGAGGAACCTACATTCCCTTCTCCACCACTAATCACAGACTCAAATGCCAGGGAAGGGCCTTTGCTGCCAATGGTAAAACTAAAGAAAATTTTGCTTCTTTTGAAATATGTTTCACACAAACAAACAAACAAAAATTGGACAATTTAAATTTTAACAATACCATGTAGACATCAAACTCATCCAGGCATCTGAAAGGGGATTCAGCAATGGACCACAAGGAAAGAATGAAGCACACAGTGGAGAAAGACCGCTCGCCTCCGGACAGGGCTCGCATATCATTGAAGGCAGCTTTATTGCCCTCTCCAGGCTGAACCTTCAAGAGAACGAGGTGATAAGGAACAAAAAAACAAAGTACACAGAAAGATTAAATTCTTTGCAATACAAGCAAATAAATAGGCTTGCAGTTATGTAAACCAAAGAAAACAATTATGTAGTGACTGGAAGTGGTATCTACCCCACTCAAAAGTATTTTATAATGAAAGTGATCTACACCTATGTTAACAGTGCTTTTCATGGGCCAGCACTGTGCCATAAGTAGGTTACGCCTCTGACTGCAGCGCCAGCATCCCTTATGGGTGCCAGTTCATGTCCTGGCTTCTCCTCTTTTGATCCAATTGTCTGCTATGGCCTGGAAAAGCAGTGGAAGATGACCCAAGTGCTTGGGCTCTTGTACCCATGTGGGAGACCCAGAAGTTCCTGGCTCCTGGCTTTGGATCGGCCCAGCTCTGGCCACTGCAGCCATTCCGGGAGTGAACCAGGAGATGGAAGACCTTTTTCTCTGTCTCTCCCTCTCTCTGTCTGTAATTCTACCTCTCAAAAAAGTAATAATAATCTTAAAAAAAAAAAAAGTGCCTTTCGTTTTAGCATGAAAATCAAATTGAAAACTTTTTCTTACCATTACTGTTAATTCAAAATAAGGGATTTATATCAGTTTTCCTATAACTCTGACAGTTGTAAACATTCTAAAAGACTGAGGTAATTTTTTTTTTTTAATTACTTGAATTACAGTGACATCTAGTGGTTATGCTGGCAGACACAGGGTCAAATTGAAGAGGTTTACAATGGCTAAATAATGACATAAATGTATTGAAACACAAAAATACCTCAAAAAATATTTCTTTACAAATACAGGTCCAGTGGAACAGTAAAACAAACAAAAAACAATTAATGAAATTCAGATATACAGGTACACAAAGTAAAAAACAAAAAACAGCACCAACCAGTTTTATGTAACAGACACACTGCTTCCAATATTTTCAATCCACTATTTAAAAAATTCTGTTGCTAACAAGTGAACATTTGGCTATTTTTTTTTCACTACTGTAGCAGCTAAACATATGTGGAGTATCTCTTTGAGGACACAAGCACCCATTTTTCTTGGGTTTGTGCCAAAGAGTGAAAGTACTTTAGCAGACATTGACAGACAGGTTTTTAAATTAGTTCTATGAAATAATACTGCCATCGGCAATGTATGAGTTCTAATGCCACATCTTCAACAGCACTGAACTGCCAGTCTTGTGTTTCAGTCATTCTAACAGACGTGTAATAGTAACTTACTGTGGTATCTATTTGTATTTTTCGGATGACTAATGATTCTGAGTACTTTTTCATGTGCTTATTCATCAGTTGGACATTTTAATTTATGAAGTTCATGTTTAAGTCTTTTGATCCTTTTAAAGTATGCCGTCTATCTTATTACTTACTATTCTTTAAAAGCCTCCTTTATTATGTATTGCAAATATTTTCCCTAGTCTATAGCTTTTCTTCAGACTCTTAGTGTTCTTTCTGATGAAGAGAATTTTAATAAAGTATAAGTTATCAATCTTTTTTCTTGAGTAGGTTATTGCTTTTTATGTCCTGTTAAAATTTTCATGAAGAAACTCTCTTCTGGAAGCTTTATTATTTTACATTTTACCTTTAGGTCTCAGATCAATTTTTAAATATTTTTTGGACATTTCAGGTAGGCAGTCAACGTTTATTTGCTTTTATTTATTTTTCCCAATGAACACCCAGTGGTTTGAACCCAGGGCTATTCACAAGATCACCCCTTTCTCACAGGCCTGCAGTAGCATCTGTCACTAATCAGGTGGCCATTATGCATGGTTCCCCTCAGACTAGCTACTGTTTCACTTCTTTTGTATACTGGCTTTCTAGTATGCAATTCCCATTCTTCTATCTTCATTATATCCTCCTACTGCAGTTTGTAATTGCCTTTCTTTTTCTAGCATCCAGAGATAAAACTTATATAGACCATTCATGTGCAGCCTTCCTTTTCCACTACCACAGGTACTCAGAGCAATAAATTACTTTCTGAGAAATCCTATGGCTGTATCTTGAAAGTTTTTTGATATGTTTTATTTTTACTGTTTGGTTCAAAATACCTTTCTAGTTCTCAGTTCTTTTTATTTAGAATTGTGCTTCCTAACTAACATCTGGGTTTATCTTTCTGTTATTTCTATTTTATTTTACTCTGCATTAGTTATGACTTCAATCTTTTGAAATTTCTTGACATGCTATGACTAGGAAGAAGATCTATTTTGGCAAAAGTTCCACATACATTTCAAAAACAATCCATATTCTGTGGTAGTTTGGTTAATTGTATAATTTAAATTTTCTATAGCATTATTGACTTGCATGATTGTTCCATTGGTCATTGAAAAAATTCTATTAAAATTTCCAACTATAACTGTCAATCCTACTTTGCCTTGAATGTATTTTGATACTGTGCTATTAGACACCTACATGTTATTTGTAAAGTAAAATTTATCAACATGAAATGCCTCTTTGTTTTTTCCTAATACTTCCTGCATAAATTCTTGTTTGTTATTAATACAGCTTTACCAGCTTTCTTTTGGTTAATATTTGCATGGTGTCTTTTGCTAGTTTTACTTAGGCTCTTTCTCTGTCATCATATTAACATTTAAAGTGTCTTGTAGGGGCAGGTGGCTGACACAGTGACTTTGCCGAGGGATACCCACATCCCATCCTGGAGTGCCTGGTTCTAGTTCCAGCTTCTCCACTTCCAGTCTAGCTTCCTGCTGACACACACACTAGGAGGCAGTAGATGGCAGCTCAAATAAACTGCCCCCCCAAATGGGAGACTTGGATAGAGTTCCAGGCTCCTGGTTTCAGCCTGGCCCAGGCCTGAATGATGCAGGTGTTTGGGGAATGAACTAGCAGATTTAAGATCTGTCTCTGTCTAGACTCACTCTCTGTCCCTCTCCCTTTCAAATAAAATTAAAACAAACAACAACAACAAAAATTGTCTCATGAAGAGCATAAAGTTGACTCTTATATTTTTCTCCAGTCTGATACAACCTTGTTTTTAACTCAATTGTTTAGTCCACTTACACTTAACATGATAACGCATGTATCTAGATTTTAGCTGTCAATCTACTTCCCATTTGTCCCATTGTCCCATGCTTGTTGTTTTTCCTCCCCTTTTTGCCATCATTTTAGTTGAGTATTCACTCTTCCATTCCTTTCATTTGGTCTTCACTGGCTCTTCATACAGTCTTCTAAAAATTTTTAGTGGTTTTTCTAGAGACTGCAATACATGCCTCTGATGTTTTATCTTAAATTAGTATTGACATTACTTCCTGAAAGGTGCAAGAACCCTCTAACAGTCTCATTCCATATATTCCAATCTCCTTTTTGTGCTGTTCTCATATATTTTACCTTTATATCTCATAAACTTCTCAAGATACTTCTGCTATTTTAGACAGCCATAACTATTTTATATTTAGCTACATATTTACCATATGCAGTGTTCTCTCTGTTCCCTTTGTTTTCCCATGTTTTTATCTGAGATAATCTGTCTTTTACCTGAAGACCTTTTTTGTTGTTTCTTTTGGACAAGCATATGGAACAGGAATTTCTTCAGTTTTGGTCTGTCTGAAAACTAAGATGTTTCACCTTCATTTTTCAAAGATAACTTTGCTAGTTATGGAAAGCAGCTTTAAGATTTACTTTTCGGGGCTGGCACTGTGGCGTATCAGATAGAGCTGCTGCCTGCAGTGCTGGCATCCCATTTAAGCTCCGGTTCAAGTCCCGGCTTCTCCACTTCTGCTCCAGCCCTCTGCTGTGGCCTGGGAGGGCAGAGGAAGATGGCCCAAGTCCTGGGGCCCTGCACCAGCACAGGAGACCCAGAGGAAGCTCCTGTCTCTTGGCTTTGGCTCCACGCAGCTCTGGCAGTGTGGCTGTCTAGGGCATGAACAGGCAAATGGAAGACTTTTCTCTCTGTTTCTGCCTCTGCCTCTCTATAGCTCTGCCTTTCAAATAAATATTTCTTAAAAAAAGAGATGATTTACTTATCTATTTGAAAGGCAGAGGGACAAAGAAATAAAGGGAGAGACAAAGAGAGAGATATCTTTCATCTGCTGGTTCAATCTCCAAATGGCCACAAAAGCTAGTGTGAGACCAGGTTGAAGCCAGAAGCCAGGAACTCGAGGATGGTCTCCCACATAGGTGCACAGGCCTAAGTACTTGGACCACCTTCTGCTGCCTTCCCAGGCACATTAGCAGGGAGCTGGACTGGAATCAGAGCAGCTGGTATTCTAAGTAGTGCTCAATATGGGTGCTGGTGATGCAGGTGGTAGCTTGATCTGCTGTCCCACAATGCTAGACCCTCTTGTTACCAAATTCCACTTTTTTTAAATCCTTTAACACTTTAAAGTCCGTCAGATGATGTTTACCTTCCACAATTTCTGTTTAAAAGTCTTCCTTAAGTTTTACTCTTGCTCACTGGGAAATACTGTGCATTTTTTCCTCTTGCTACTAAAAGATTACCTCTGTGTTTAGGTTTTCAGCTTTTAGACTCTTTGAGCTCAGATGCAGTTTTCTTTGTATTTATCTCACTTGAGGTTTGCTGAGAATTCTGAATCTGAGTTGAGGCATGTGCAATTTGAAAATTTTAAGCCACTATCACTTCAAATATTCTTTCTGCCTGTTCTTTGTTCTATAGGGACTCCTCTTACCATGTTAACCCTGCTAATTGTATCCTCTTAAGTTCTGCTCAGTGTTTCTGCATCTGTTTCTAGGTTGCTCAATTCAGGTATTTTCTTTTGAGCTGCTCTGAGTTCTGCTAATTTTGTCTTCTGTTTTGTTCACCTGGCTCTTCAATACATCCCATGAGTTCTTAATTTGATATTCCAATATTCATTGATTATTCCTGAGATTCCAAATGTATGCTGAAGGTTTTCATCTTACTTGTTTATGTTGTTTATGGCCAGTTCTATTTTCTTTAACAATGATAATGGCTATGGGATGGCACTGTGGTGCAGTGAGTTAATGCACTGGCCTGTAACACTGGCATCCCATATGGGCACTGGTTCGAGATCCAGCTGCTCCACTTCTGATCCAGCTCTCTGCTGTGGCCTGAGAAAGCAGTAGAAGATGGCCCAAGTCCTGGGGCCCCTGTACCCATGTGGGAGACCAGACCTGAAAGAAGCTCCTGGCTTTGGATTGGCCCAGCTCTGGCAGCTATTTGGGGAGTGAACCAGAGGATGGAAGACCTTCTCTGTCTCTCCTTCTCTCTGTGTAACTCTTTCAAATAAATAAATAAATCTTAAAAAAAAAATGATAATGGCCAAAATATTAAGTCTGCTATCTTTTATTTTCTATCTTTGACGTACAAATAAAATACAATAAATTGCACATACTTACAAATGTACAATTTCAGTTTTAACAGATTTATACATCTATGAAATCACAATTCAAGATAAAGAATATATTTATCATCTCCTAAAATTTCCTCATGCTCCTCTATAATCCATACTCTGTTCCACTGATCCCTTGTCTTAATTACTGTATCTTTGCAGAAGGTCTTGAAGTGAATTAATTTAAGTCCTCCTATTCTGTCCTTCCCTTTATAGGTGCTTCACATTTCCACAAGAATTCTAGGATCAGTTTGTCATTATCTACAAAAAATCCCACTAGTATTTTGAAAGGAATTGCACTGAATCTACAGATCAAGTTAGGGAGAAATAAAATCTTAATAAAATACTAAAATCTTCTGATTCATGAACACCATAATCTCTCTTATTAAGTCATTTTTCATTTTTCAGCGTTATTTTATAGTTTACAGTGCACAGGTCTTGCATATCTTTTGTCAGAGTTTTCTCTAAGTATCCTGTATTTTTGAAACTGTTATAAGCGGTTGTTTTTCAATTTTAATTTCTGATCGATTGTTGCTAATATGTAGAAATTTAATTCATTTAAAAAATTTTTAAATATTTAAAAAAATTTTCTTTATACACATATTTTTAGAGATTTAATTTTATTTATTTGAAAGAGTTACAGAAAAAAATCGAGATAGAGAGAGGTCTTCCACCCACTGGTTCACTCCCCAAATGGCCACAATGGCTGGAGCTGAGCCATGTGCCAGGAGCTTCTTCTGGGTCTCACACCCTGGTCATCTTCTACTGCTTTCCCAGGCCATAGCAGGGAGCTGGATTGGAAGTGGAGCAGAGGGGCTTGAATCATATGGGATACCGGTGCTGTAGGCCAGGGCGTTAACCCACTGCACCATAGCGCTGGCCCCTATAATTCATTTTTGTATACTAATTGTACCTGCAGCCTTGCTCGCTGTACTAAATTGAGTTCTTCCTCCTGTAGGTTCCATCAGATTTTTTGTGTAGATGACCAGGTTATTTGTGACCAAAGAGAATTTGACTTCTTTTCCAATATGTATTTCTTTTAGTTGTTTTGTTGAGTTACTGAACTGGTTTGAACCTCTGTTATGATACCGAATAGAAATTATGAACATAGACAAGCCTGTCTTGTTCCTGACTGTAGGGATTAAACACTCAAGTCTGCCTTTTACTTTATGCTTGACATTTTTATAAAAGAGCAAAGGAGGCTCCAGATGATTCAATATTTTACAAAATGGGACTTCTATTAGGTTGGAGTTATGATAGGACTGATGGACTGAGTAGTCATTTTAGTAAGACAGAATCCTCCTTTCATTCATCTCTGCTCTTTGGGCCAGCCACATACAACCCAGAATTCAAGAACTGACTAACTGAAGTTTTAGTCATATGCCTAGCAGTTTGCTCAAGTTTCTACACGTCTTACCAGCCCTCTTCTTCCACCACAAAAAACACAATTGGGGCCAGCACTGTGGTGTAGCGGGTAAAGCCACTGCCTGCAGTGCCGGCATCCCATATGGGCATCAGTTCGAGTTCCAGCTGCTCCACTTCCAATCCAGCTCTCTGCTATGGCCTGGCAAAGCAGTGGAAGATGGCCCAAGTCCTTGGGACCCTGCACCCACGTAGAAGACCCGGAAGAAGCTCCTGGCTCCTGGCTTTGGAGCTCCTGGCCACCTGTTGTGGCCATCTGGGGTGTGAACCAGCAGATGGAAGATCCCCCCACCCCCGCCTCTCCTTCTCTGTCTGTGTAACTCTTGACTTTCAAAATAAATAAATCTTTTTTTAAAAAAAGTTCAGAATCAGCAATGCCCTCAGGAAAGAAAATACTCAAATACTCAGCAACTGTCAGCTTACATTGGACAGGCTCTCCCACCCCTTGGAATTCCGATTCACTGCTGCTCCCACACCTCTTCAATGTCTGAAATGAGAACTTTGTAATTTCCCTGGCTTTCTCATAGCTGAAAGTGAGAACAATGGATCACCATGGCATAGCACCTCTTTCCACATGGACAATTCCTCTTTTTTTTTTTTTTTTTAATTTGAAAGATAGAGTTAGACAGTGAGAGAGACAGACAAACAGAAAGGTCTTCCTTCCATTGGTTCACCCCACAAATGGCTGCCACGGCCGGAGCTATGCTGATCTGAAGCCAGGAACCAGGTATTTCCTCCTGGTCTCCAACGCGGGTGTAGGCGCCCAAGCACTTGGGCCATCCTCCACTGCCCTCCTGGGCCACAGCAGAGAGCTGGACTGGAAGAGAAGCAACCGGGACTAGAACCCAGCGCTTGTATGGGATGGCGGCGCTGCAGGCGGAGGATTAACCAAGTGAGCCACGACGCCGGCCCCTGGACAATTTCTCTTAATACTTTCAAATCTCTATCTTTAATAACTGAATTCCTTAAAAATAAAGGCTGAGTGAAGAGGAGCTACCAATTTTTTATTGGTACAAATTTAAACAAGTGGAGGGTAAGAATCTACTTTCTAATGTGCTAAAATGCAGAGGTGCCAAACAACAAAAAGGCACCCAATTCATTCTAAGTATTAAAATGAAATGATAAAATTTAAGGCCCAATTCATTCTACATATTAAAATGAGATGATACAATTTAAGGCAACTAAGAGTAGTAAGCAATTATTTGAAAAATCTGTCCAAGATTACTTAGACTGAGTAGCTGCTCTTGATCTGACAACACAATTTCTAATGTCATGCCAGTAAGCACTCTTTTAACACATATAACCATGACTTTGGAATGCTGAATGCAGTAGCTTTGTTTACTCAAAGGAGGTCAGACCTAGGATAGCTTCAAAGTAAATACTGTGAAGGATAAATTAGGAGGGACAGAACCTTCTTGGCTTCGTAGAGTGAGACTACAGATTACAGAGTTTATCTAACAGCCCACACAATTTAAAATTCCGTGTGAATTTAGAAAAAAAAAAAAAAACAGTGCAGCAGAAAGACAAGGAAAACATTTGTCACTGAGGATAAAATTCCTAATTATCATCTTAAAAGGATAATGTGGCTTGGGAAAAAAACACTGACTAGCAGCTTTATTCAGCAAGATCAGTTCAATTTTCAACATGTTGGCAAAGACTATTCTTTTTTTTTAAGTTTTATTTATTTATTTGAAATGCTGAAATACAGAGAGAAGGAGGGAGAGAGAGAAAAGGGAGAAAGGAGAGAGAAAAATTATCTTCCATCCTCTGGTTCACTCCCCAAACGGCTGCAGTGGCCAGGACTGGGACAGGCCAAAGCCAGGATCTTTTTCTGGGTTTCCCACATGGGTGCAGGGGTCCAAGTACTTGGGCCATCCTTTGCTGCTTTCCCAGGAGCCTTAGCAGAAATGGATCAAAAGTGGAGCAGCCAGGATTTGAACCAGCATCCAAAAGGGATGCAGCACTGCAGGTGGAGGCTTAACCTTCAATGCCACAGCACCAGACCAACCAAAGACTATTCTTAACTTTCTTTTTTTTTTTTGACAGGCAGAGTTAGACAGAGAGAGAGACAGAGAGAAAGGTCTTCTTTTCCGTTGGTTCACCCCACAAATGGCCACTATGGCTGGCACACTGAACCGATTCAAAGCCAGGAGCCAGGTGCTTCCTCCTGGTCTCCCATGCGGGTGCAGGTGATCAAGCACTTGGGTCATCCTCCACTGCCTTCCCGAGCCACAGCAGAGAGCTGGACTGGAAGAGGAGCAAGGGACAGAATCTAGCACCCCAACTGGGACTAGAACCGGGGTGCTGGTGCTTCAGGCGGCGGATTAGCCAAGTGAACCGTGGCGCCAGCCTATTCTTAACTTTTTTTAAAAAGTTCTTTCTCCCAAAGACAGCGAGTTAAAGTTTACCAATGTTTCATCAAAAGAAAAGCAGCAGCCAATATTGCTAAAAACTGAGATAAAAAGAAAATACTTACTGAAATAGTAAGAGTTTCGTTCTTATGGTCAAAATTCATCTTTCCACAATAGGCTCTCTGAGATAGTAAGTTGTCAAAGTACAATTTGCATCGTAAAGTCAAACACCTTGAAGTAAAGAAATGGGACATATTAAGAAGACAGAGAACCACAGAATGATCTAACCAGGCAGAATTATGTTGAGAATGGCTGCCCATTTCACAGGTGGGTTGTAGGTGATCTGTTCCCATGTCTTATGGTCATTTCCAACCTCACATTTTTACCAGTTCATTTACTTCCATAAAAACACTCATATCCCACATTTAATATACCCCATTACAGCAGTTAGTCCACATGAATAGATCAATAATTAATTTACACTGTAAGGCATTACATAAATCTTGTGCTTGAGAGGATTAAACTCTAGTAGTATTAAGATGCATAAAGTTGCCTGTTTCCTCCAGTCTTTTTGTAATGCCACTTTGTAAACTTCTTTCTGAGTCTAGTCTTGGCTTTCCATTGCAACAAAATCTTTTATGGTATGCACCTGATTAACTTATAGCATGTTAAAGAAAGATATTCCACCTGGGTAATTTTTGTCAAGATTTTTTTTTTTAACTTTTTTTTTTCCTCACCATTTTTTTTTTAAACTTTTATTCAATGAATATAAATTTCCAAAGTACAGCTTATGGATTACAATGGCTTCCCCCCCATAACGTCCCTCCCACCCGCAACCCTCCCCTTTCCCACTCCCTCTCCCCTTCCATTCACATCAAGATTCATTTTCGTTTCTCTTTATATACAGAAGATCAGTTTAGCATACATTAAGTAAAGATTTCAACAGTTTGCTCCCACACAGAAACATGAAGTGAAAAATACTGTTTGAGTACTAGTTATAGCATTAAATCTCAATGTACAGCACACTAAGGACAAAGATCCTACATGAGGAATAAGTGCACAGTGACTCCTGTTGTTGACTTAACAAATTGACACTCTTGTTTATGGCATCAGTAATCAACCTAGGCTCTTGTCATGAGCTGCCAAGGCTATGGAAGCCCCCTGAGTTCACTGACTCTGATAATTTTTAGACAAGGCCATGGTCAAAGTGGAAGTTCTCTCCTCCCTTCAGAGAAAGGTACCTCCTTCTTTGATGACCTGTTCTTTCCACTGAGATCTCACTCGCGGAGATCTTTCATTTAGGTTTGGTTTGTTTTTTTTTCCAGACTGTCTTGGCTTTCCATGCCTGAAATACTCTCATGGGCTTTTCAGCCAGATCCGCATGCCTTCAGGGCTGATTCTGAGGCCAGAGTGCTGTTTAGGACATCTGTCATTCTATGGGTCTGCTGTGTATCTCACTTCCCATGTTGGATCATTCTCTCCCTTTTTTATTCTATCAGCTAGTATTTGCAGACACTATTCTTGTTTCTGTGATCCCTTTGGTTCTTAGTCCTATCATTATGATCAATTGTGAACAGAAATTGATCACTGGGACTAGTGAGATGGCATTGGTACATGCCACCTGGATGGGATTGAATTGGAATCCCCTGGTATGTTTCTAACTCTACCGTTTGAGGTAAGTCAGCTTGAGCATGTCCCGAATTGCACATCTCTTCCCTCTCTTATTCCTACTCTTATATTTAACAGGGATCACTTTTCAGTTAAGTTCCAGCACTTAAGAAGAATTGTGTATTGATTACAGTATTCAACTAAAAGTATTAAGTAGAACAAACAAAAAAAATACTAAGAGGGATAACATATCAAGTTGCTCATCAACAGTCAGGGTGAGGGCTGATCAAGTCACCGTTTCTCATAGTGTTCATTTCACTTTAACAGGTTTCCTTTTTGGTGCTCAGTTAGTTGTCACCTATCAAGGAGAACAAGTGGTATTTGTCCCTTTGGGATTGGCTTATTTCAGTCAGCATAATGTTTTCCAAATTCCTAACAGGGATCACTTTTCAGTTAAAATTTAAACACCTAGAATAATTGTGTGTTAATTACAGAGTTCAACCAATGGTACTAGAACAAAAAAAAATACTAAAATGGATAAAGTATTACATTGTACATCAACCGTCAGGACAAGAGCTGATTAAGTCACTGTTTCTCATAGTGTCCATTTCATTTCAACAAGTTTCCCCTTTGGTGCTCAGTTAGTTGTCGCCGAATCTACAAAGAAATCAAGAAACTCCACAACATCAAAACAAACAACCCACTTAAGAGATTGGGCCAAGGACCTCAATAGACATTTTACAAAAGAGGAAATCCAAAGGGCCAACAGGCACATGAAAAAATGTTCAAGATCACTAGCAATCAGGGAAATGCAAATCAAAACCACAATGAGGTTTCACCTCACCCCAGTTAGAATGGCTCACATTCAGAAATCTACCAACAACAGATGCTGGAGAGGATGTGGGGAAAAAGGGACACTAACCCACTGTTGGTGGGAATGCAAATTGGTTAAGCCACTATGGAAGTCAGTTTGGAGATTCCTCAGAAACCTGAATATAACCCTACCATTCAACCCAGCCATCCCACTCCTTGGAATTTACCCAAAGGAAATGAAATTGGCAAACAAACAAGCTGTCTGCACATTAATGTTTATTGCAGCTCAATTCACAATAGCTAAGACCTGGAACCAACCCAAATGCCCATCAACAGTAGACTGGATAAAGAAATTATGGGACATGTATTCTATAGAATACTATACAGCAGTCAAAAACAACGAAACCCGGTCATTTGCAACAAGATGGAGGAATTTGGAAAACATCATGCTGAGTGAATTAAGCCAGTCCCAAAGGGACAAATATCATACGTTCTCCCTGATCAGCGACAACTGAGTACCAAAGGGGAAATTTTTGTCAAGTTTTATCATGGTATAGTTTGCAAAAATAAAAGTCAGTTACAAAAGAAAAAAAAGCGCCCCAAATTCCTGCTCTTGGAAAGAGGAAAGGGGAGTGGCACCCTAAGCGGAATCTGATGGTCTTGCCACTGGGGAGACAGAGTTGGGGACATGAATTGTATGTAGTGGAGAGGAGTGTACAGTACAAAGTAAGGATTCTAGAGGGCCTACAAAGAGGTCTGCCCCAGCTGCATTTGAGGACACTGCCTGAGGCTGGGGAAACACCTGAAGAAGCAGCAGATCCCTTAAGCGCACACAGAGCCAGGAAGAGCTCATAGACCCACTCGCTCAAGTGAAGGACTGACACAGTACTTAGCAGAATACTGCCTCCAGTAAAGGCAGCTCTACTCCCACCTAACAAAGCTTAAACAGCTTCAACAAGGATAAAGATAAGTCCTTCATGTACTACTAATATAACATGGCCATAAACTTGAAACACGCATTTCAAAAACTAACCCACAAATATATTTTTTATGGTTTTACCTAACTTGCCCATATACTCTAGACCTAAGTAATTTTTAAATCAACTTCTATAGTCTTAAGATTGAGGGTATACAGAGAGTTAAAAACTATGTTAGTGGGGAATGCCACCAGGGGAAACAGAGGCAGGGTAAGGCTGCCTTGGATTCAAACGTATTAAGTCATGCCTTCCTGAAATTACCCTTTGGTATGTTTCTGTCATTTGTTGTATCTGCTGAGGTCAATCTATTCCTGTGAGTCTGTGCACCTCTGGGTATATTATAAAGAACATACAGTTTCTGTGATCCTGTGTTCATTTATTTAACAACTTTATATCAAATGCTTGCTATACTTCAGGCACAGTTATAGGCACTGGATATAAAGCAGCAAACAGAACAGAGTTCCCCTGTTCATGGAGATATACATATCTCCCCCATCTTAGGTTCCCCAAGTCCTTGCTTCATATACCCTTACTGTCTGGTTTCCTATTAGACATTCGTTTCCCTTGAGAATATGCAATGCCTAAGGGTGAAATAGGCTATTTCAGAATGAATTTCAAAGAACTCACCTCTGAGTTACCCACTAAGAGACAACTAACAGAGTGCAGAAGTGGATAAGCTCTCTAAAGGGCCCTCCCAACCCAGAATACTCTTGATTAGATTACATAATCCCAACTGACAAAGCAAGCACTAGTTTCTGCTGTTAAGTGGGTCATATAATGCTTTTAATTTCATTATTTATAAAAGATAATGTAAAAAACAAAGAAAACACATAAGTGTAAAATATATGGTAATTTTTTAATGCACTTACCTTCTAAACTGTTGATATGTTTTGTACCTGTGGGTCATGATTTCTTCTAATAATTTGATAAATCTTCTTAAAGTTCTTACTTTGTTATCCAAGTCAAGATAGGTTTCTCTTGCTTCTTGGTATTGTCTATTTGATAAACAAAGTATTAACTAAATAAATGCCATTCATAAAAAGCCTAAGAAAAGTAAAGTATCCAATATATTTAACTGATAGGGAAGGGCAGAGTGATAAGGAGGCCTAACAGCAGCCGATTTCATACGCTCTCAGACTGAAAGAGTGCTATGGATTGAGACAGTGCTTGGCAGACTAGGAAAGAACAAAGTCCAAGACCTGGTCAAGGTAGAGGAAGCATATGAGCAAGTGCCCAGATTCAGGCCAGAGAAACAGATTTGGAGAATGCCAGCATTTACCTATCTTCTAAAAGTAAAGAGGGCAAAATAGGAGAAAGGTTCCTTTTAGTGAGATACTAGTAAGGAAGAAAATAATGTAGGGTCAGCATTAGAACTGCCCTAATCAATACTAAAAGAGGACCAGCGCCATGGCGCACTAGGTTAATCCTCCGCCTGTGGCGCTGGCATCCCATATGGGTGCTGGTTCTAGTCCCAGTTGCTTCTCTTCCATCCAGCTCTCTGCTGTGGCCCGGGAAAGCAGTGGAGGATGGCCCAAATGCTTGGGCCCCTGCACCCGCATGGGAGACTAGGAGGAGGCACCTGGCTCCTGGCTTTGGATCTGCGTAGCTCCGGCCGTTGAAGCCACTTGGGGAGTGAACCAATGGAAGGAAGACCTTTCTCTCTGTCTCTCTCACTGTCTGTAACTCTGTCTGTCAAATAAATAAATAAAATCTTAAAAAAAATACTATAAGAGATTAGGACAAAGAGGCCAAGAAGGCATAGCTACTGAGTAGTGCTATTAGAGAGAGCAACAATTACTGCAGCAAGAGAGCCTTAAGTGTGAAAGCCAACCCTGGCCAAGGCTCCCACAGCTATTCCTTCTATCCTCCTTCAAAGAACCAGTCCAGGAAAATCCAATTACTTAAAAATCAGTAACCAAAAAAATGTGTAGGCATAGCATCCTTATAAACATATTTATGGAAAACTGTCCCACAGAGAAAACTTAGTAGAATACCTCCACAAAGCAGAAGAAAACTGCAAGTGAACATCATGAATTAAAATGAAACATGAAACAAGAGCTATGAGGAAGGAATAACTCAACACAGAACTAAAAGAGCAGAAACAAAGAATAAACAGAGAAGACAGACAATAGGAGGAGGTAAAGCAGAACTTAGAGAACCCGAGATAGGGAAGGTGGAAGGGTCCACAGCACACATAGATATGAAGACATAAAGAGCAGCAGAGGGGCGAACAGAAACATGAACAACACAGTAACAGAAATGGAGATAACAGCAAGCAAGATAATTAGAGAAGACAAGGATCATCCAACATACATACAACTGCAAGTTAATAATAACCTACTACATATTTTATGAAGAACACAGAGTATAAGAATGTGGAAATGCTAATTATGATTTGATCAGTGTACACTGTACCCTTGTATTGAAATATGCTATATTCCATAAATATAGTTATTACATATTAACACAAATATATTTAAAAATGGAATAGAAAAAAATTTTAAAGCAAAATACAAGGATATTTCTAAGAATTAATTCTTTTTCTAAAAAAAGATTTATTTACTTATTTGAAAGGCAGGGTACAGAGAGGCAGAGAGTTTGAGAAAGGGAGGAGAGAGGTCTTCCATCTACAGTCCACTCCGCAAATGGCTGCAACAGCTGAAACTGGGCTGATCTGAAGCCAGGAGCCAGAGCTTCTTCTGGGTTTCCCACTCAGGTGCAGGGGCCCAAGTGCTTGGGACATCTTCCACTGCTTTCCCAGACCACAGCAGAGAGCTGGATCAGAAGCAGAGCAGTTGGGACTCGAACCAGCACCCATATGGGATGCTGTAACTGTGGGCAACGGCTTTACCTATTACACCATAGCACTGGACTCAGAATTAATTCTTAAATTCACATTTCAAAAAAACACAATCTATACCAACAAAAGAGTAACAAAATCTGCATTTTGGACAAATTCTAGGATTTTTTTTAAAGAACATTTATTAGTAGGGAGCTGGGTCACAAGTGGAGCAGCTACGGCCGGCGCCGCGGCTCACTAGGCTACTCCTCTGCCTTGTGGCGCCAGCACACCAGGTTCTAGTGCCGGTCGGGGCACCGGATTCTGTCCCGGCTGCCCCTCTTCCAGGCCAGCTCTCTGCTACGGCCAGGGAGTGCAGTGGAGGATGGCCCAAGTACTTGGGCCCTGCACCCCATGGGAGACCAGGAGAAGCACCTGGCTCCTAGTTTTGGATCAGTGTGATGCGTCGTGGTGGCCATTGGAGGGTGAACCAACGGCAAAGGAAGACCTTTCTCTCTGTCTCTCTCTCTCTCACTGTCCACTCTGCCTGTCAAAAAATAAAAAAAATAAAAAAAAACAAGTGGAGCAGCTAGGCACCCTGACATGAGATGGTGGATGTCACAAACAGCTACGCCACAATGCCAATTTCACATTACAGTATTTTATAGACAAGTATCATCAAAAACAAAACACTCAGGATATAAAGTATGAACCATGCATTTTATATTAGGCTAAACTATCCTTCAGATAGAAAAGCCACAAAAGCAACAAGAATTTATGAACCTACAAAAATGCAGAAAATAATCATGCTAAGTCATTCTAAAGAAAAAAAGAGGACAAACAACTTTACAAGTAACATGGCCATTTAGAAAAAGATAAAATCCATTCCTTAAACAACCAAGCAGAATAAATTTAAAACAGATCAGAGATCCAAATATAAAAATATGAACACATGAAAGTACTAAAATAGCATAGGTGAATGCCTCCATAATTTTGATGTAGAAAGCCTTTTAAACTATGATCCAAAATCCAGATTTAGAAAATGTTGACAAATTGGCCTAAATAAAAATAATCTTTCCCTGGAAAAATCAAACCAAACAACAAGAATACAAACTATTTCAAAAGAGAAATGATGAATTAAGAGAAACACTTACAACAAAGGCTAATATCTCTTAAAAATATATTTTTATAAATTAAAATTTAAGGGAAAGATTAAAGAAAAATGGTATAGAATATGAACAGATTATTCACAAGGTATAAAAATGGCTCTTAAACAGATGAAAAAATTCTCACTATTATTCATAATGATGGCATCCAGCTGTGACTACCTTAGTATACCAATTCTCATCCTAATGGCAAAAATTAAGCTTAACTATCCACCATACTCCCTGCTGGCAAGGCTGTGAGGAAGCATCCTCTCACACAATGCTAGTGCAAATGCAAAAACAGTACACATCCTAAAGTGGGAATTTAGCAAATCTCTAACACAACCACACACTTCTGGGAATTTGTCTTGCTGGTACAGCTAGACATTCCTGAAATACGCTCATTCACTGCAGCACTGAGACTGCAAAATACTCGAAATGACCTAGACACACAAACATGGAATGACTGAATAAACTATGGACCACACAAAAAAGCTATGATCAGAAAAAAAGAACTGGTGCTTTATAAGGGGTGGGTGGGAAATGAAATTGAAGGGATAAGTGAGGAAGGACACTCTTCTAATATTCTTTTGTGTGAAGCTTTGACTTTTAGAATTGTGTTAATTTCTACATATTCACACCAAAATGAAATTATAACAAAAGGATGGGAGAAATCTAAAACTGACTACAGATAAGAACAAATACAAACATTTCTATTTCAAGTTAATAACTATCACACTAAATAAGAGAAAAATTAATCCAAATAACTAGAACACTATTAAGTTTACTAAATACTACAGAAAATAATTGCAAGCACAAAAATTTGTTTTTGTAGATGTGCAAAGTGGGACAGTAAATGTTAATGTTCTCAACAGCCAGGTTCCTACTGTGGAAAAACGAAGACAGAAACACAATTAAGGTAAGGCCAAAGATGTTTGTAGGATTAGAATGCCACTAGAGATACCAACACGAACTCACACATTCAGCTCTATTCACTGAATAGTCCTGAAATGCTTTCCCAGTAACAACTAGCACCCCAGAACAAAAAACGGTGTTTAGAGGTACCATTCCCCAAATAAAAAAACCCAGGGCTCTTTGGAGAAATGACTGATCCCAAGGCTGAATCAAGGAAGGCAAAAAAAAAAAAAAGGAAAAAAGGAACATATTTAAAAGACATAGAAACCAGATTGAAAAGGCTCTACTTGAGTAAGGTATAACTTAAACATATAAATAACAAGAACTGGGGCTGGCGCTGTGGCGTAGTAGGTTAATCCTGCACGTGGTGCTGGCATCCCATATGGGTGCTGGTTCTAGTCCTGGCTGTTCCTATTCCAACCCAGCTCTCTCCTATGACCTGGGAAAGCAATGGAAGATGGCCCAAGTCCTTGGGCTCCTGCACCCGCATGAGAGACCTGGAAGAAGCTCCTGGCTCCTGGCTGTTGCGGCCACTTGGGGAGTGAACGTTCTGTAACTCTACCTCTCAAATAAATAAAATCTTTAAAAAAATCCTTTAAAATATTTAAAAATAAATAAATAAATAACAAGAACTGATTACAGCCCATTAATAAAATAGGAATCCATTAAGTCCATGTTATAACAGGCAAGTAGGTAAATGAAACAGGTACTTGAGGGAGAAGGCACTTCCTTGCAAATGACTGATAGATAACATGGAAGATGCAGAGGAACCAGAAAAATCATAATTTTCACAAACAGTATAGTTTAAGATTAGTTGAGACAAGAATCACTAGCCGATGGCAAAATCCAGGACTGAAAATATGAAAAGCCAGGTCTTATCATGGCTATAAGGTGTCCTTCCACACAATGCTTATTAGTTGCAAGGGAAAAAAAAAAATACTGAATGAAACACATAATGCAGAAGCTAAACAACATCTTTACTGAGTGGTCACAATTAACATCACCAGTAAGAGAGAGACAGAGGGATGATATGTGTCTCTGGATATTATACTCCATTATTTACACAGTATCCTGGCCAAGAATACAAACATGAATTACCAGCAGATAAACCCAAACAGAGTAATCTGTAAAATAATAGGACAAATGAAATTATGTGATTCTAAACTGTATCCTATAATGTAGGACAAACACTGAGAATTGACAAAACTGGAACAGGACTGAAGGGACTGAGATTTTATCAATGTTAAATGTCTTGCATATCATCAATTTACACTGAAATACTAAGGGTCATGATGATATATACATGTGTTCATGTGTACGCGTCTGTATACATGTGAAATACTAATATAGCCTTTCAATAATGTTTGGAGTCTTGTGATTTTTTGACACTTACCATGTAATATATGTTTATATCAACCATATCTGGGCAATTTCTCTTTCCAAGACACTATTAATTCTAGATGGAAAAATTCACTAGGATTCAAATTTTGCTTGAAGTCCAGCTACTTCATAAACCATTATTACAACTATTATTTATATTTTTGCATTTTACCACCAGTAAGAACAGAAATATAACATCTGTGTGATTAGCAGAACATGGAATTAAATTTGTATTTTCCTTATAGGGCCAGCACTGTGGTGCAGTGGGTAGTCTCCATCTGCAGTGCCGACATCCCTATGCGCTCTAGTTGAGTCCCAGCTGCCCCACTTTCAATCCAGTTCCCTGCTAATGCACCTTTTGGAAAGAAATGGAAGACAACCCAAGTACTTGGACCCCTGCACCCACGTGGGAGTCCCTGAAGAAGCTCCTGGCTCCTGGCTTTGGCCTGGCCCATCCCAGGGCCGGTGTGGCCAGTTGGGGAGTGAACCAGAGGATGGAAGATCTGCCTTTCAAATAAAATTAATCTTTAAAAAGAAATAAATTTGTATTTTCACTGAAAAATAGAGCTTTTTGCTCAGGTTTTTTTAAAGCCTTTTTTAACAATGGCATGTGAATCTACAAGTTATCACAAGATTTAAAATTTGCTTAAAAATCACTGTATTATTGGTGTATGAATGAACAGTTAAATCTACTGTTACATGAAAATATATTAATGATTTTAGAATACAAAAAAAAATCAAAGTATAACAATTAGAGAAGATAGCTCAATTTTTTACAGTTTAGCAGTGAAAAAGGCCTTTGAAAATGGTTCAAAATCTATTAGTCATACAAATAAAAACACACAAAACATAAATACACACTGAACACATAAATTTCTGCATAGTAATAAAGGCTCCATTAACTACTAAAAACATGAGAAACACTACTCACATATTACACAAAGAACTCATCTTTTTAAATATATGAAGGGCTCTTAAAAATTGAGGAAAATATTCATAGAAAAATGAAAACAATATTTCACAGAAAAAAAATACAAAGCAATGATTCTCAAGACATGAAAATCAGAGGTGGGAGTCTGGCACAGCACTTAAAATGTCATCTGGAATGGCCGGCCACCATCTCATTTTGGAGTTGCCTGGGTTTTAGTCCTAGCTCCACTTCCCAAATTCCAGGTTCCTGGTGTACACCCAGGGAAGTAGTGATGACTGTTAAGTGGTAAGGTCTTATCACCCATGTAAGAGTCCTGGATTGAGCTACTGACTCCTGGCTTCAGCCTGGCCTACCACTGGCTGTTAAGTGCATCTGGGGGAGGGAACCAGCAAGTGGAAGAACCCTCAGTCTCTGTCTTTCACATCAAAATTAAAAAACAAAAAAGATACAAAAATGAAAAGATGCTCAATTTTACTCAAAATTAAAGAGAAATGCAAACTAATACTATACTGACACAAATTCATTTTGGGGAAAAAAATCTATCAAAATGTATTATCTATTATTATCTGTTTTAAAAGCATTTAATATTTTAATGTTTCTTCCTATTGTATTCTGACATTTTTGAAAAGACAATTGAAATCACTCCTATTCTCAGCCTTTTTATAATATGAAAACTTCATAATGTGTAGTATTTGCAATTTTCTAAGGTAATTTAACCACTCTCCAATTGTTTCTATTCTGAATTTTTCAATGTTATAAATAATGCTGCAATAGACTTCTGAGCACACTCTTTCTCATTTTAGATTACATTACAGCAACAAAATTGGCCAATTGAAATTTTAACCAAATATTTTGACACAGACTGCCTAAATGCATCTTCAGAAAGATGTTAACAGTAACAACTAATATAATGAGGCCGGTGCTGTGGCTTAGTAGGCTGGGGCCTCTGCCTGTGGCACCAGTTTGTGTCCTGGCTGCTTCTCTTCTGATCCAGCTCCCTTCTCATGGCCTGAGAAAGCAGCGGACGATGGCCCAAGTGCTTGGGTTCCCGCACCCATGTGGGAGACCCAGAGAAACCTCCTGGCTCCTGACTTCGAACCAGCCCAGCCCTGGCCATTGTGGCCATTTGAGGAGTAAACCAATGGATGGAGGACCTCTATCTCTCCCTCTCTCTGTCTATAACTCTACCTCTCAAATAAATAAATAAAATCTTTAATAGAATACAAACCCTCCAAATATATTATGTTTTCTACACATTCTGTTTACTATGGACTATCTTCATTACAATTCTGTAATGAAGTGCATCAGTTTTGTAGATGAGGAGACAAAGATTCACAGAGATAATTTCCAAAGCCACATAAGTAGGCAGAACTGCAATTCAAACAGAGGCACTCCTCCTTCAGAATCTGTGCTCTAATTATACAAAAGCAGCCAGCGCCATGGCTCACTTGGCTAATCCTCTGCTCACGGCACTGGCACCCCAGATTCTAGTCCCGGTTGGGGCACCGGGTACTAGTCCCGGTTGCTTCTCTTCCAGTCCAGCTCTCTCCTGTGGCCCGGGAGATCAGCAGAGGATGGCCCAAGTGCTTGGGCCCTGTACCCACATGGGAGACCTGGAGGAAGTACCCGGCTCCTGGCTTTGGATCGGCGCAGCGCCGGCCGTAGCAGCCATTAGGGGAGTGAACCAACAGAAAGAAGACCTTTCTTTTTTTTTTTTTTTTTTTTTTTTTTTTTTTTGACAGGCAGAGTGGACAGTGAGAGAGAGAGACAGAGAGAAAGGTCTTCCTTTTGCCGTTGGTTCACCCTCCAATGGCCGCCGCGGCCGGCGCGCTGCGGCCGGCGCACCGCGCTGATCCGATGGCAGGAGCCAGGAGCCAGGTGCTTTTCCTGGTCTCCCATGGGGTGCAGGGCCCAAGCACCTGGGCCATCCTCCACTGCACTCCCTGGGCCACAGCAGAGGGCTGGCCTGGAAGAGGGGCAACCGGGACAGAATCCGGCGCCCCAACCGGGACTAGAACCCGGTGTGCCGGCGCCGCTAGGCGGAGGATTAGCCTAGTGAGCCGCGGCGCCGGCCAAGAAGACCTTTCTCTCTGTCTCTCTCTCACTTTCTATAACTCTACCTGTCAAATAATAAAAATTATACAAAAGCTTCCATTTTTACCAATAAAAAGTGTTTCATTGAAAACTCACTGACTTGGAGTATTACTGTCTTTTTTAACTTATTAAATTTATTGTATTTAGCTTCTAACTGTTTCAATTTGTATTTCTTTGATTACTTGTGAAGTTTAACATTTTCATGTCCATATGAATCTTACAGACATAAAGGCATTTATGTTAAAATGTCATTTCATAATGAGTTTTTAGTAATTCAGAAGTTTATTGTTAACATGTATATAAGACTATTTCAGCTAAAGCTATCTGTAGTTAGTATTTCATCAAAATTTAAGATTTACATATAAATATATATTTTTTAAAAATTTAAATCATTTTATTTGAAAGACAAGCAGGGTGGTGGTGGGGGAACGGAAGGGAATGAAAAGAGGGAGAGAATGATATCTCCCTTCTGCTGGTTCACTTCTCAAAGGTCTGCAATAGCCAGGGCTGGACCAAGAAGCAGCCAGGAACAGAGAACTCAATCTAGGTCGCTGAAGTGGATGGCAGGAACCCAACTAGTTGAGCCAGCACCCGCTGCCTTCCAGAGTCTGCATTAGCAGCAAACTTGTACTATAGCACAGCTTTACTTGAGCTCGCCACTCCAATATGGGTTGTGGGTGCTATAGGTAGCATATTAACTGCTATATCAAATGCTCACCCCTGTATTTTTATTATTATTATTATTTAAATATTTATTTTATTTATTTGAAAGGCAGAAATATAGAGAGAGAAGTCTTCCATCTACTGGGTCACTCTACAAATGGCTGCAAGAGCTGGGGCTTGGAGCCAGGAACTTCCTCCGGGTCTCCCACATGGGTAGCAAGGGCCCAAGCACCTGGGCCATCCCCTGCTGCTTTCTCAGGCCATTAGCAAAGAGTTGGACTGGAAGTTGTGCAGATGGGACCCGAACCAGCACCCACATGGGATGTCTGTGTGGTAGGCAGCGGCTTAACCCACTATGCCACAATGCCTGCCCCTACTTTATTACTCTACAATTATTAAAATATTTTTTAGAATATTTATTTATTTGAAAGGCAGAGTTACAGAGAGGCAGAGGCAGAGAGGAAATCTTCCATCCCCAAATGGCCACAATGGCCGGAGCTGGGCCAATCCAAATCCAGAAGCCAGGAGCTTTTTCCAGGTATCCATGAAGGTGCAGGAGCCCAGGCACTTGGGGCATCTTCTACTGCTTTCCCAGGCCATAACAGAGAATTGAATCAGAAGTGGAGCAACTAGGTCTTGAACTGGCGCTCATATGGGATGCAGGCACTGCAGGCAGTGGCTCTACCCACTATGTCACAGTACCGGCCCCTATTTTTTAAATTTATTTTTTATGTCTTGAAAATACTCGTGGAAAACATAATACATTAGAACAGCTAACAACCACTTACCTCATTATTTCCTCTCGATCTCCATGACTAGCATGTTCTGCCTGTATCTTTTGTCTTAATCGATTAATTTCTTTGTCTAGAATTGATGCAGATTTCTTTACTTCTATCCGCTCTGGGCAGATTTGTCTTGCCTGCGACGTTTTCTCCTAAGAAAATAAATGTTTAATACTTTAAGAATCTTCTTTGATATGATAATTCATTATACTATTTATGCCAAAACATGCAAAGTAAAATTCTGAACTTAAGTTTAAGAAATACATTTTAATTATTTAACATCAACGTTATATAAACTTTATATGAAGGATACAGTCTAAAGTCATTATAATTCTTCAAGAGAAAACTACACTACTCTGTACAACTTAAAGAAAACCAACAAACAAACCCTCAGGTTTGTGTAAGATTAAAAAATGCAGAGCTCTTTCAAACATGGTATTTGTTTTATATTAACAACATTCTGTATTTATAGTGGTCAACAAGAGCAGTACTAGGAGCTAAAATGGAGCCTAGCCACATTCAGCTGAGAAGGGGTGCCTTTTTCTGACCCCACATGGGTATCCACATGCCAAGCTGTGTACCTAGGGAGCTATGTCAGATGAGAAAGTATGACGTTGTCTGACCCACGCAGGGCACATGATTGAACTGCTGCAGTCTTGCCTAGTTAAGTCCCATTCTTCAAGGGCTCCTAAGCCTCTTCTGTTGATGCAACAGAACACTTGTCACTATAGAACAGAAATTCAGACAACCTGTTTCTTGGAACATGGTATTAGGCAAAGCACGTTTCAATAACCATGACTAAGGTTCTAAACAAAATAATTTGAAAGAAAAAAAAATGGATGACCTCTAGTTCTTTTTCTTTCATGTCCAGTTCTCTTTTCTTTTTATTTAAAGTATCTAAGTGTTCTTTTTGTTTATCTTCATAATGCCGCTTCCCACGTTTTTGATTATCCACTTCAGAGTCAGCAAGGTTTAATTCATCCTGTTAGAATCAAGGCAAAATAATAAACAATGTTTAAAAACATTTCCAACCAAGTAGTAAACTAATTAACAACTCAATAAAGTGGCTAGGACTATGCTGCTTGAAGAGGCATGTGTTAACAGTTCCTATCCTTGCGTGTTTGAAAAAAAGCAAGCAGTTACAAAAATCAGAAAAACACATTATAGGGGCAAATGTTTAGCCCCTATAGCAATTAAGAGGCCTACATTCCATATAGGACTCTGTGGGTTTGATACTCAACTCTGGCTCTTAAGTCCAGCTTCCTGCTAATGCACACCATAGGGGGCAACAATGCTCAAGTCACCAACAATGCTCTTGCCAACCAAATGTGAGACCATATAAATTGTACTACCAGTTTTGGTCCAGCCCAGGTTTGGCCCTGTCCCTGAACTGCAGACATTTAGGGAGTGTACCAGCAGATGGGAGTGTTTCCTCTCTATTTCTATCTATGCCCTTCAAATAAATAAAACCTAGAAAACACATCATGGGGGCCAGTGCTGTGGTGTAGTGAGTAAAGCCACTGGCTGCCATGCCAGCATCCCATATGGGTGTCAGTTCAAATCCTGGCTACTCCACTTCTGATCCAGCTCTCTGCTCTGGCCTGGGAAAGCAACAGAAGATGATCCAAGTGCTTGGGTCCCTGCACCCACATGGGAGACCCAGAAGAAACTCCTGGCTCCTGGCTTCCGATCGGCTCAGCTCCGGCCATTGCGGCCAATTGGGGGAATGAACCAACAGATGGAAGACCTCTCTCTCTCTGCCTCTCCTCCCCTCTCTGTGTAACTCTGACTTTCAAATTAAAAAAATACTAAAAAAAAAAAAAAAAAAAAAAAAAAGAAAACACATAATCAAATTCTTACATGAAGTCTACATATTGTAGTACTGTTAATTTTATTTTGGTTAACAAGGTAATTCTGGGGAAATCCATATTAGCCTTGAAAAACTTAAAACACGGGTTAGGCATTTGGCATATCTTCTATCAGAGTGCCTAGATTTGATACCTGGCTTGGTTCCCAACTACAGCTTTCTGCAAATCAAACCCTATCACTGTGTAGAGATATGCACTAAGTTCCTCTCTCTCAGCTTCACCTACCCACTGGAGATTGTTGTGAGCCTTTGGGGAGTGAACCAGTGAATGGGAACACATGCTCTCTCTGCCACTCAAATAAAAAATTTCAAAAAGAAAAACCTTAATACAAGTGCTCGATACAATAGTCCCCTCTTAACTGTCAAGAACACATCCCAACACTCCCAGGAGATGCCTGAAATCACAAATACTACCAAACTCTACACATGAGGAGTCTTCAAAAAGTCCATGGAAAATGAATATTGTGAAAAAAACTATGCATGGATTTTGAAAATTTTTTGTACCAAAATAAGCATCTCCTAATTTTCTTTTTTTAAATTTGTTTTTTAAGGAATACAAATTTCATAAGCACAACTTTAGGAATATAGTTATTTTTACCACCATATCAGTCTTCCCATGATTATTTTAAACATCTTTTAATGTTCCCATGTTCTTTTTGTAGTATACTAGTATACAGGTTAAACTTATAAATTAGGAATAGCAAGAGATAAACAATAAGAATAAAATAGAAGTCATAATAACATAACTATAGTAGTACTTCAGCATATGTGGTTTCTCTAGCTAAGGCATACTTTTAGACTGCAGGTAACGATAAGTAACTGAAAATATGGAAAGTGGAATTGTGAATATAAGAAAGGACTGTTGTATACAGTTTTTAAAAATGTGCAAAGTACAGTACCAGAAAGTGAACTGGTGGTTTCCCAAAGACAGAAGGTAAGAAGAAGGGAGAGATAAGAGTCCAAAGGATCATGGACATGAGGATGTTCTGTTTCTGATTTGTGGTCATGGTTTTACAGGCTTATACGTGTCAAAAACATGCTAAAGATTTACATGTGTATTTATTGTATGTCAATTATCTCGACAAAATGGTTTAAAAGGCTGATGACTTAAGAGCCACAAAAGTGTTCATTCCAGTAGAATAAATGAAAATGGCATAACTTATGTAGTTGATGTTACAGTCAAAGATTGTGACAGCTTATAAAACACAATGGTTAGTAACTAACGTTTCTAAGCATTTTCAGTAGAAATTGAATTGCTTTAGGGAAACAATTAACCTCTATATGGAATCAAAGCAGTAAAGTATATATCAGGATTAATTTATACTGGTTAATTTCCTCCTAGCAACCTTGGGAATGGAACCAGTAAATTTGTAAAATGATAAGAGAAACTACAGATGTTAATTTCCCATTTCCCACGTTTACTGTTTGATCTGTCTTTATTTTTATAAGCTTCCTTGCTATGTACTATCAAATTTAAATTAAAAGATAAAACCAAGAATATGTTATCTAATTTACTGATACTGAAACAGATTTAACAATGTCTCATTCAGGCTCAATGTAGGTCTCACTTTCTGTCCAATAAAGTTAATTCAATAAATCATTAAGTTTATAAGTATAAATCAAAAGAAGCTGATCAAATCAGGAAAAAAAATGTTCACCATACTAAGACTTCAGCAACTACATATTTAAACAGCATACTCCAAATGCTCACTACCCTTCCAACACAGAATGAACCGAAGTTCTAAAAGCAAACAGATTACATCTGGGAGCTAGCAATATGCCAGGTTTCTAGGGAGATAAAATTATTTTGTTAGCTAGATCTCCCTTGTCCTGTTGTTACTGATGGCTGGTATGACATGATACTGAGAAGGAAAAAACGCCTGGATACTGGCTGATGACATTCAGGTTTACTAAAAGACTCACCTCCCACCTTTCAATTATTTGCAGCCCAGGCAGAGAGCTAAAATCAAGAATTCTTATTGCCTTCTGCCCACTTTTTCTTTCCTTGAATTTATTTATGGACTCCCAATTCCAGGAGTTCTTTTAGTCTACAAATCCCTAAAAAAACAGAAGATCGGTTACTCTTCATCACTTCTTGTTTTTAAGTTTTCTAAGATCAACAATTTAGGTGCCAGTCATTCTTTTTCTATACTGTTTTAGTACATTTCATCATTTTAAGAAGCCACAATCTGGGGCCAGCGTTGTGGCACAGCAGGCTGAGTCCCTATTGTAGCATTGCTTGAAGCACCAGCTGTCAGCTTTCAGTGCTCCAGGGAAAGCAGCACAAGACGGCCCAAGTACTTGGGCACCTGCCACTCACGTGGCAACTGAGCTCCTAGATTCAGCCTGGCCCAGCCACTGCAGCCATTTGGGGAGTAAGACAGAGGATGGAAAATTTATTTATCTTTCTCTTTCAAGTAAATAAATATTTTTTTTTTTAAAAAAGAAGCCATGAATCATCTTTTAACTATTTAAAAATTTGTTTTCCTTAACTTCTATTGCAATTTCATTGTTGTAATTCTGAGTTCTGAATTATACTTTGTCTATTCTTGGAATGTGAAATATTTCTTTATTTCATTGCTTCTCATTTTTTCTTAAAATTAATTTTTTCTTATTTTTTACTTTTAGACTTCCTGTAATTTTAATTCTTATTTCCTATAGTAACTACTTTCTTATTTTATGTATTAAATACTTCTCCTTCTTTCAATTGAAATATCTAAAATTTATATTCCACTTGATCAGTTAATTCCTCTTTCTTACTTTTTATTCTCATTTTAAATAGAAAAAAATTAAACAAATCAAATTATAGTGGCAGGTAGAAATCCCAGCTACATAGGCAACATTGAAAACCAACACCAAAGAGACAGAAACTATTTCAATGCAGTTATTCCTGCAACTTCCTTTAATATTCTTCCTCATTCTTCACATTATATTCTCTAAAATTTCTAATGAAGACGACTATAATAAAATTCACATACAGGCAAATTCTTCAAACTTTTAAAATGTTAAAATACCTTTTGATTCAAAGGGTAATTTCTCTACAAATTAGTGATATTAACAATATACTTTTCTCCTTAGAATATAACATCAAGGGGACCAGCGTTGTGGTATAGGAGGTTAAGCCTCTGCCTGCAGTGCCAGCATCCCATATGGGCACCGGTTTGAGTTCAGGCTGCTCCATTTCTGATCCAGCTCCCTACTAATGCACCTGGTAAAGCAGGGGAAGATGGCCCAAGTCCTTGGAAGCCTACACCTATGTGAGAGATCCAGAACAAGCTCCTGGATTTGGCCTGTCCCTTCCCTGGCTGTTGTGGCCATTTGGAGAATGAACCAGAGGATGGAAGCTTGCTTTCTCTCTCTATCCTCTTCTCTGTGTCTTTGCCTTTCAAATAAATAAATAAATCTTTAAAAAAAAATTTTACAAAAATCTGTCTCTGTTACTCGGCCTTTCAAATAAATAAGGAAATAAATAAATAAGACTTAAAAAAAAATAAAGAGATGGTAGCTATTTTCTAAGTAAATTATTTAAAAAACTTATTAACATCAAATCTTCTTAGTGTCTTACTGTCTTATAAAGTTTAGAAAATAATTGAGTTATTCCTAAAAATGATGACAATAAGCTATCTGATAATTAAGTTTATTAAGTCTCATGAAGAATTTATTAAATAAGTTTTGTCCCTAAATCTGGCCTCAAAAATTAATGTGCTGGGCTGGCACTGTGGCGCAGTGGGTTAACACCCTGACCTAAAGCACTGGCATCCCATATGGGCAGCTCTCTGCAATGGTCTGGGTTCCTGGGCCCCTGTGCCTATGTGGGAGACCCAGAGGAGTCTCCTGGCTCCTGACTTCGGATCAGCATAGCTCTGGCCGTTGCAGCCAATTGGGGAGTGGGCCAACGGATAGAAGACCTCTCTCTCTCGGCCTATCCTCTTCTCTCTGTGTAATTCTGACATTTAAATAAATAAATAAATCATAAAAAAATTTATGTGCTAAAAATAAAGAAAAATTCAGCATGCAGGGGCCTGCGTAGTGGCGTAGTAGTACTGCCTATGATGCCAACCTCCCATATACGTGTCAGTTCACATCCCAGCTGCTCTACTTCCAATCCAGTTCCCTTCTAAAAGCAGCAGAAGATGCCTAAGTGTTTGGGCTCCTGCCACACATGTGGGAAACCCAAACTAAGCTCCTGGCTTCAGCCTGACCCAGCACTAGCCATTGTAGCCATCTGGAGAATGAACCAGTAGATGGAAGATCTTTTTGTCTCTCTCTCTCTGTAATTCTTATAAAATAAACAAATCTTAAAATAAAATTCAGCATGGATTTTAACTGATATGTTGATAATCAGGAAATAGGTAGCACTCTATTTCAAATCGCCTTTTCTAGCAATTAAACTTTGCAATACTGAAGGAAAGGTGAGAAGCCGAACAAGCAAGCGCACTATCAGCAGAGACATACTAAAAATGTCTGTTTCTGGTTCTGGGAAAAAAAAAATCAAAAATAAAGAGGCAACAAAGCTGTAATCCTCCAAGGAAACTGAAATTTAGAGATTTAGTCTCCTAAAGGCAAGTGTTCAATAGTAATTGATTTAATGATGAAAAACTCGTCCCTACCATTCTTTACATTCCATTTTTCTATAATTCTGCTTTAACCAAAAATTCTTTTAGGGCAATATCCAATGAGAACATGATTAATACACTATGGGAATAAAACTAAAACATGAAATGCACATGTTATCAGAATAAAAACAGCATTTACCTTAAGTGGATCTGCTAGTTCTGACAGTTGATTAATTTTTAATTTAATTGCCTCATACTTATTTTCTGCTACTATTTTTAGACTTTTAAGATACTCCATATTTTCTTTTTGTTGCTCCATATTTTTCTCAACCATTTTCATTTTACTTTTATTTTCTTGGGCTTCATCTTCCTGGTGACAGTTAAAGAGCATATAGGGTTAATTAAAATACTTAAGTTATCAAATAAAAAAATTCTGAGAGAGAAGTAGAGGTTACAGGCAAAGCAAGTCAAAGACAAATACAAAGAACACAATATTTTTATGCCCTTAATGGTAAATTAAAATTAGAAGAAAACAGATCAACAAATGAAGAGAGAGAACATTTAGGAAAGAAGTTAAACAATATCTGCTTGGCGTAATAATCAAAAGGAATAATCTTGATTCTGCTTGCTCACTCTCCCCATCACAAAATATACTTGGTGTAAATACATACATATCTTATGTCAACATGTTAGCTGGTAAGTGAACAAAAATAAAACACAGTCCATTCCTTAAAGACATACAGTCTATTGATGGAATTAAAGCAGAAAAATGGAAAACAAAGCTACTGTTAAGGAAACAATGACAAACTCTTAATAGAATAAAGCTTCATCAGCACAGGGACTTATTCTGTTTTGTTCACTGTTGTATTCCTCAATACTTATGTGCTGCCTGATGTAGAATAAAAATTCAACAAATATATATTCTGACTGAATTTATTTCATTTATTCCAACTTAGAGAAATCTAAGCTGAACGTCATAAACAGATGCCTGAAAAAATACTATTGAGTAATATATGTGGTCAATTAGAAAGAAAACCATTAGCTTGAAGAAAAGAAAATGCAAAGAGACCAACTACAACTGACTAGGAGATGGCCTTGACATCTGTGTCCACCCAGACAGACACTGAGAATTCTGAGCAGGCCCATACAAAAATGTGTTTAATTGCAATTCAGCTTTGTTAAAACTTTACTTCAGGTGGTAAAAGACAAAATCAATCAGAAATCTGAAGGCTTTTCACCACATAATTTTAAAATCAAAACGATGTAAAAACAAAAAGCTGAGAAATGATGCTAGCAACCAAAATGCTGGTTTTATCCTTTAACATTACATTTAAATAGGAAAAAAAAAAAGGAGGAAGGAATTTTACCAAGGTTGCAATATCTACAGATTGGTGTTCTTCTATATTCTCCAATTCTCGAATTTCGGAAGTATTTTTTCTGATTTTCATCTAAAAAGAAAAATATTTAGATTTTAAAAACTAAACATAAATAATAATAAAAAATCCTTGGAAAGGACATATTAATCCAAAGCTTTACTATGCATTATGATGCAAAGTTTTCCTTAATTAACAGATGTACACTGGTTTTAAATAAACCAAAGAAGGTTCTCTATAAATGTCAGCCATTTCCATGCAAAAAAAAGATATAAGCAGTCCATCTCAGCATTTACAATGAAGAAATTATTGACTGACAAAAGAAAATATTTTTCAGAAACATCCTAAGTTTGAAGTTACCAAAAAATTATTCTGATTCAGTGGTTTTTAAAATGTGATCCAAGTACCTGTGGGTATCTCTGAGACCCTTTTAGGGGGCCCAAAATGTTAAAACTGTTTTCATAAAAACACTAAGACATTCACCATTTTTATTAGCATTTTTCTCCCAAGTGTACAGGAGGCTTATATGATGTGTAATGTCACACCAGACTGAATATCAAAGCTGATAACTATTCAGTTGACCTTTATTATACAGACATTAAAGATTTACAAAAATATAAAAATGTCAATCACATGACTAAATTATTTTGGTTTTCAGAAACACAGTTTTCATAAATTATTTTATTTGTTAACATGAATTATTTTTAAATGAATATTCTCACATTTAAGTATTTTTAATGTAAATCCTGATAGATATAATCCATGTAAATAAAAGCTCTTTTAAGTGTTTTAAGGCAGAGCAACAGAGAAAAGACAGAGGTCTTCCACCTTCTGGTTCTCTCATCAAATGCCTGCAACAGGGTTGGACCAGGCTGAAACCAGGAGCCAGAAACTCCATCTAGGTCTCCCATGTGGGTGACAGGGGCTCAAAGCACTTGGGCCACCTTCTGCTGCTTTCCCAGGTGCATCTTCAGGAAGCTGTATCAGAACTGGAACAGAATTAGCACTGCCATATAGGATGCAGGCAGCACAAGCAGTGGTTTAACCTGCTGTGTCACACTGCTGGCCCTGCTTGTTTTTAAAAGCTTTTAGTAGTAGGGCTCAAGCCAAAATGTTTGAGAACTATTACTCCAAGAGAATGGCCAGGATCTTAAAATTCACCTGAAGTTCTAAGTTGAGAAAAACAAAATGTGTTGTTCTTACCTTTAGCTCTTTGTAATGCAGTTGGCACCTTCTAAGAAATTCTTCGTTGCGTTTAATATCCTTTTCAAGGGCAGACAAATGTTGCTGAAGGTTTACTATCTGCGCCTTTTTATTTTCAACCTCATTTTCCAAATCACTTGATGAGAAGAAAAGAACAAAAAAATTTAAATCTATTTCTCAACATTACAAATGTATTAGGGCTTTATAAAGAACAGGTGTTTTGTGTTTTAATTTGCAAAATCCTGTTCAGCTAAACCATTTCTATCATCCTACCAAGTTGCTAACCACATAAAAATCTATTCCAGAAATTTTGAAAGTATCCTAACACTGGAGTCTTTCTTATTTCAGTAATAAGTATTTATGCTATGACTTCCACATGTGAGGTACTGTGCTTAACAGAGGCAGAAACAGAATTAAGACACAACTCCTCCAAAAGAAAGTAATCAGGAAACAAGCTATAACATCAAAATCTGCACTACATTACATGTCCACAGTACTATACTGGGTTAGAAGAATTGAAATACCCAGGTCGGCACCGCGGCTCACTAGGCTAATCCTCCGCCTATGGCGCCGGTACACCGGGTTCTAGTCCCGGTCGGGGCGCCAGATTCTGTTCTGGTTGCCCCCTTCCAGGCACCCTAGGTTCTAGTCCTGGTTGGGGTGCCGGATTCTGTCCCGGTTGCTCCTCTTCCAGTCCAGCTCTCTGCTGTGGCCCGGGGAAGGCAGTGGAGGATGGCCCAAGTGCTTGGGCCCTGTACCCGCATGGGAGACCAGGAGAAGCACCTGGCTCCTGGCTTCGGATCAGCACAGTGCGCGGGGCACAGTGCGCCGGCCAGAGTGGCCATTGTGGGGTGAACCAACGGATAAGGAAAACCTTTCTCTGTCTCTGTCTCTCTCTCACTGTCCACTCTGCCTGTCAAATAAAATAAAATAAAAAGAATGAAATACCCAAGGCAGAGAGTAAGGAAAATAGGAAATTTCCTGTTGGTGAAAAACACTAAGATGATGATAAGGAGAACAGGAAAAAAAGAGATGGAGAATAAGCAGTCTCCAAAGCCATGCAGAGAGGCTGCACGTAGCAGTCCACTGGCACCAGAAATGAGTAGTTCCTGCCCTGCTGATCCTAGCACCTGTCTTCCAAAGTTGTGGCTTGAAGGATGAGAACCACTTTTGCAGTAAGAATAACCTAGCCTTGTTCCAGGAGTTTGCCATATTCTCCCAAAGATGCCTACTTTTCCATTTTTTAACACCTCTGAAATTGAAACCATTTTTCTAGTCCATGGTTCAATTAGCAGCATTTACTGGTACATAAAATATCAGAACATAAAATATTTTGTGATGTATACAATAACTTATTTTATCATATATAAATCTATACCTTTATTAAAAAACAGTAATTTTACCAACTACCAAAATAATTTTTGACATTTAGGGCCTAAACCAAAAGTAAAAAATAACAAAATGAGTAGACATTATTATACAATTTTTTGAAATTTTGAAATTTTGTGAAATAAAGCAATCAACATAACCTGTATTAACAAAACTTATGCATTTTACAACTTCTTTTTTCCTGCAGACTAATGGTTACAAACTGTCATATATAGGGCCAGTACCCCGGTGTAGCAGATAAAGCAGCCGCCTGCAGTGCCAGCATCCCATATAGGTGCCAGCTTAAGATCCGGCTGCTCCACTTCTGATCCAGCTCTCTGCTATGGCCTGGGAGAGCAGCAGAGGACGGCCCATGTGCTTGGGCCCCTGTACCCACGTGGGAGACCCAGAAGAGGCTCCGGCTCCTGGCTTTGGATCAGCCCAGCTCCGGCCCTTGTGGCCATTTGGGGAGTGAATCAGCAGATGGAAGATCTCTGCCTCAGCCTCTCTGTAACTCTGCCTTTCAAATATATACATATATATATATATATATATATATATATATATATAAACCTTAAGGAAAAAAAAACCTGTCATATACTATTCCTACTTGGTTTTTAATTAGTTTTGACCCAGATAAAGATACTAAAGGGTACAGTAAGCCTGAGCCAAGGATACAAGCCCCTTGTGTTGGATGAATGCACCTCCCTCTGCAGCCCATCTAAAACAGCACACTCCTCCAGCTCTGGCCCTGTCCTGTGCTTCACTTTTCCCCACAGCACTGGGGACCACTGAGAATCCAGGACAGAGTTTTGTGTACTTTGTTTCCTGCTGTATCTTGTACCTATTTAGTACCAGGTACATTAAGTCCTCTTTAAATATCTGCTTGAAAGAACAAATCAAAGAATAAAATTTGAAAAACACTCTTCAGCACTTTGTATAGAAAATGTTACAGAATTCTGACTCAAAATCCACAGGTAATTTCTTAATGAAACACACTGGTAATTATTCTAAAGGATTGCTGATATATTACATGAACTTTCACCACTGGAAACCACACCATGATTAATAAACAAAACCCAGTGCCACAACACAAGTGCTGATCATTTTACCTTTTTCTGTGGATGAACAAGCTTTACTGTGCTTTATAATATCCATTGTGGTTATTTACTTTAACGTTGCTCTTGAAATCAAACAAAAATGGCTACTATTATTTGAAAACAAGAAATCTTTTTCAATAAAAACCTTATTTCTCCTACAAATACAAGCCATTTAGAATACTTCTGCTCAAGTTCCTTAAATATTTATTTTACTTCAGTTCTAAGTTTTTCTACTAATGATCTTCCAAGTTATTAACTCAGATCCAATCTATCAATCGCTCCTCTGAACTAATATAGCTGGGAATCATGTATTTTTTAATTTGATTCATTTTGCATGCTCCTGAATCTTATTCCGTGCATTATTAGTTTTTCAATTACCTTCTCAATTTGTCTCCCTTAGCAGCTCCTATTTTCCCAGGCATGTGTTCTAATTGTGTTGATGGATCTTTCAGTAACAGAGCAACTCAAAGTACCAGAGGCATAATAAAGAGCTTGAACCAGATGTAAACTCACACATGGAAACTGTACCCTCAATGAGAAAAATCAGCAGACCTCACCAGTGAACATGGTGATGTAGAAGATGTACATTCTAAGTTAAGCTCCTTATTTCTTTGTGGACGGATCTGCTGGTAGAGAGAACACATTTTGTGTTCTCAGTCCTAAATACTGCTGCTAAAGTGATGACAGAAACTATCAGCCTAGAATTCTACAACCAACTAAATAATTTTTAGGGGTAAAACACTAAGACAGACCAAACATGGTTCTCCCTGAAATAACCACTGAGAGAATAATATGAAAGAAATGAAATACGAAAGGAAGCAGTGGAAACAATGCAGTAAAGCTACACTTGACTCCTACCTTATTTCAGAATCCACATCTCTGGTTAGGAACTTAGGTCTTGTATTTTCAGATGAATAATAACGTCCTGCAAAAACCTGATCACCATCAGCGGTAAAAGCTTCTCTACAATTTTTGGGTGGCTTTTGGGACTGCATTACTGCCCGAGCTACTGAATTATTCTAAAATAGAGAGGAAAATACATTTTCAAAGCCTTGCCAAAGCATCTTACATGGACACAATTACAAAATAAAACATTTCCTTATTATCTTAAAATAATTCCAGTATTCTTAAGCATTCAAATAATCTCATTAAAAATAAGAATTTCACAAACAACTTTTCAATGTCCAAAGAACTGCAATTCTTCAGTCTTTAAAATAACCTAGTAAACAATACTTCAAGACAGAGCAATGTACATTGTTTTTAAATTCTAATACTGCATCTACTTAAAATTAAAAATTATTTTAAATACCTTTTCACATGAAAACATTTACTTTAGACCAATTTACACAGATACTATTTTTTCCTAAGATTTTTCTCTTATTTTCACTTTACTTGAGAGACAAGATCTTCCTATCACTGTTCCACTCCCTAAATGTATGCAGCAGCCAGGGCTGGGACAAGCAGAAGCCAGGAGCTGGGAACTTAATCCGATCCAGCTCTCCTATTCAGGTTACAAGGACCTGGGTGTTTGAGCCAGCATCTGCTGCCTCTCAAAGTACACGTTATTATAAGGAAGCTATATCAGAGGCAGAAAAGTCAGGCACTCCAGTATGGCATGCGGGCATCCCAAGCAGTAACTTAATGACTATACTAAACAGCCATTTATCTAAACGACTTTTATATCCTAAGAAAGGTATGAGCAAATACAAATACTAATAAAAAATTATTGGCAATATAGGGAAAGCTTGGAAATACTTGAATCCTAGGGGGATAGTGAGATTAGGTTTAATGGAAGCCTAATCAACCTCTTTATTTTCTGCCAAGTATCCTTCTAAAAATATGAAAGAACCAAGACACAAACAATTACAGCATGAATGTGTGTGTGTGTGTGTGTGTGTGTGTGTATATATATATACACACACACATCTGGGATACCAAGACAATTATTTCTGTTTCCATTAATAAGAAAAACAGATTCTCATTATGTTTGTCTTCATTGCCCAGATTTGTTTTGAATCTTCTGTCCCTTCTCTGCAAGCATTCATGCCAATATGAAACAGAATCCGGTAATCCAACAAGCATGTAAAAATACACAATGAAAAAAATACTGATTTTAGAGAGCACAGTTATATGAAAAAAATTGTAAAATATCAAGGTATTTCATTTAAAAAGCAGAATAATCGTAATGTATGTATCTGTCAGCACAAATAAAAATTAGATTTGGCAGCCAATCAAGAGAGAACGAAAAACTTCTATAGCAACACTTCCAAAAATTACTATCAATTTGTAAAATTACTTTACAAAGAAAAGCTAAAAAGTTACCAAGTCCCTTGGGACAGAGAACACACAAACCATCCAGTTGTATACTATCTTGCAGGTTTTCTTATGAGGAAAAAGTACATGATGAAACTAATCAATAGCTCTACGAACAAAGGGCAATGGGAATTTATAAAACCTCTCTCAGTTTTCAAAATTTTAGAGTAATATAAAATACAGCAAGCATCTTGTCTTACTTTGATCAGCAGCACTGTCTCTATGCCCCTCATGTCAATCAGGCTATTTGCAACAACTGCATTGTCTATTTCTAAAGCTGTCAGAACCGTGGGAAACTCTGGATGATAAGCAGCTCTAGAAGACAAAGATACATAAGGATTAACTTTGCAATTTTTAATTATAAATATATATATAAACTTTATTAACTATAGAAAGATCTTTTTGGTAGGTGAGAAGATTTCAACACAATATAAAATATTTGATAGTGTTTGAGAAAACATAGCTTTAACAGGATTACTTACTTAGCAAACACAAATACTATATGCTAGGCACTGTTTTAAACATAATGAATATCAGCTCACTTAATCCTAGTAACAACCATATGAAATAAAAACTATTATTCTTTTTTCTTCAGGTGAAGATGCTTCAGAGTTTATTAAGTTCTGTAACAATAATAAAGCTAGTTAAGCAGCCAGACTAGGACTTTAACCAGGCAGTTCAGCTTAGCTATCATGCCATATTGTCTGTTATAATTACAACTTCCTTCAATCTTACACTATAAGTCAATTTAAACACTTAAATTGTTAATTCTCCCACTGATAGGAGATAAGAAAGGTTAAAGTTTAGTTTATTAACAGAGAGGAAATACGCGAGAAAAAAATATTCTCATGAATTCCAATTTGGGCTTCTTAAAGAGACCCAAAGTGCATGTTACAGTTAAAAATTTAAACATTTGGAGGCTGACACTGTGTGGCAACAGATTAAGTCATGGCCTATGACATTGGCATAGCATATAAGAGTGCCAGTCGGAGTCCCAGTATCTCTGTTTCTGATCCAACTCCCAGTTTATTTATTTATTTATTTATTTATTTATTTTGACAGGCAGAGTGGACAGTGAGAGAGAGACAGAGAGAAAGGTCTTCCTTTGCCATTGGTTCACCCTCCAATGGCCACCGCGGCTGGCGTGCTGTGGCCGGCGCACCGTGCTGATCCGAAAGCAGGAGCCAGGTACTTATCCTGGTCTCCTATGGGGTCCAGGGCCCAAGCACTTGGGCCATCCTCCACTGCACTCTCTGGCCACAGCAGAGAGCTGGCCTGGAAGAGGGGCAACCGGGACAGAATCTGGCGCCCCAATCAGAACTAGAACCCGGTGTGCTGGCGCCGCAAGGCGGAGGATTAGCCTAGTGAGCCGTGGCGCCAGCCATCAATTCCCAGTTATTGCGCCTGGGAAGGCAGTAGCAAATGATCCAAATACTTGGGAACCTACCACCCACATGGGAGACCTGGATGGAGTTCAAGGATCCTGGCTTTGGCCTGGCCCCGGCCGTTGTGGCCGTTGTAGCTGTTGTGGCTATTTGGGGAGTGAATCAGAGGATAAAAAATCTCTCAGGGGCCAGCGCCATGGCTCAGTAGGTTAATCCTCCACCTGTGGTGCCGGCATCCCATATGCGCACCGGATCTAGTCCTGGCTGCCCCTCTTCTGATCCAGCTCTCTGTTATGGCCTGGGAAAGCAGTAGAAGATGGCCCAAGTGCTTGGGCCCCTGCACCCACATGGGAGACTAGGAAGAAGCACCTGGCTCCTGGCTTCAGATCAGCGCAACTCCGGCCGTTGCAGCCATTTAAGGGGTGAACCAATGCAAAGAAGACTTCTCTCTGTCTGTAACTCTGCCTCTCAAATAAATAAATAAAATCTTAAAAAAAAAAAAAATCTGTCTCTCCCTCTGCCTTTCAAATGAATAAAAATAGATCTTAAAAAAATTTAAACATCTCAGCACAGAAGAATGAATATACCAAGAACAGCAGGTTTTAGAGCAATGAACAGTTAAGGGAAGGAAAGGTGGTGGTGTATTCTTGGGTTTCTTTAGTCCCAGAATTCTAAAACAAAGTATCTTTTGATGCATAAAACATAAAACAGAATATAACAATCTACTTGGGGAGTGACCAGTAGATGAAAAGATCTCTCTCTCCCCCTCTCTGTAATTGTCTTTCAAATAAAAATCTTAAAAAATAAAAAAAGAAATGGAGATTTTAGGAGCAACCGGTTTTAGTACAGAAATCAGGAATGTGGCTCTCAGACATGGTAAGTTTGAAAGGTCTACTGGAGATTCAAGTGGAAAATATATACCGAGTATACCACACTGTAATGTTCAGAGGAAACAGCCAAGCTATAGAGGTAGTTTGATAATTATCGGTTACAATGTGCATATAAAGTCATTAAACTGAATGAGTTTACCTAGAGAAGTGTACAGCAAGGAGTTTGTAGCACTGATTCAGCTAGAGGTGAGAAGAATAAAAAAGATACTGGAAAATTAGGAAAATCAGAAGAGTATAGTCCTACAAGCCAGATGAAAAAGTGTTGCAGGAAAAAGAATGATCAACAAAGTCCAATAGTGCCTGTTAAGTCAAGTTAGTGGATAGTAAGAACTAATTACTGAATTACACAGAAGAAGTTTCTTGATGCCCAGAAAGGAGCTATTTTGGTATGTAGTCAAACTATAAAAGCCTGACTGGAGCATGTTCAGGACAGAAGAGGAAGAGAAATTGGAGATACAGAGAATTATTTTGAAGAGTTTTTTAAATTTTATTTACTGTAGAGGAAAACAGAGAAGTGAGACAGAAACAGCTTCATGGCCTCCTTAGGATTAAGTTCAAGTAGAACTAACAACAAGGATACAAAAAAAAACCAGGGAATGGGTGCTCTACAAATGACAGTAGCATCAATGAAACAAAACAGGGCAGGAGAAGACATAGGCAAGGGAGTGGAAATCTAGAGGGGAGACAGTGGTACAAGAAGTTCTGGTGCAAGGCAAACCTGGCCAGTCCCTTGCAAACAGGTTTCTACGCTGGAAGGAGTAACCATTCTGAGGAGGATACACCATGAAGCAGTCACTAATTCTAGTTTGCCTGAAAGCACCAAGTTATAAGCCCTTCACTTTGCTATTCTTTCTTGGGATTCACTTCATTCCGGCTTATGTTACAATTAATTTTACACTAAGAGATGCTATAAAAATCACTCTAGAACTAAAAGTAGAAAGGAATATTAGCAATAAAATGTCAGTGATGAGAGACAAGGAGTCCTAGGATAATATCAAATAGGTTCACCAAACAATGTTAAGTAGAAAACATTATCAAGACACTGGAGCAAAGGAAAAAATGCACATAAAGTCTAGGCAGGCACAATGGGCAAAAGGAGTTACAGGACAAAATGAAGGATTCTAATTACACTTGAAAGAAACCACTTAACATGATTTCTATAGGCAAGTAAAAGAAAAAATAGTACAACCAAATTTAACAGTTGGAAAAAGCATGCTGAAAACTTGGCACATTTTTAATGTCTCCAAATATAACAATATACAAGAGAGAAGTGCTAATAGACCAAGTACAGAGCTGTGGGAAGCATAATAACAGAAGAGGTGAAAGATACGAAAGGTAGAAGAATCAAAAAAACGGCACGATAGTAACAAATGGGGTAGTTTCAATAAGGGGTATTAAATAGCACGTAATGAATAACAAAAGGTAAATGTATATACAGAAATAGATACAGATTTTTATGGGGTACAGTACAATATTTCAACATACACAGTGCAAACTGACCAAACCAGGTAACTGGGCTTTCCGTACCCTTATTTTTTATTTGTGTTTGGAGTCTACCAGCTCCTCTCTTCCAGTTCTTCATATATATATATCATATAATACATGATTATGAACTATATTTGCCTTTCTGTGCTATAGAATACTAGAACTTATTTGTGGGGAGCAACTCGGACTAGACTGTTACTGGAATTAAGACTTATTCTATACATCTGCTCTCCCACAATATGGCACTGAGAAGGCAGTAACAACTTCTACGCAGCTGCCTCTCGCCAACTTGAGTGATGACCTGCAGGAGCTGATCCTGCTCCTGATTGGAGGAGAGCAGCGTACTCGGCGTGTGGGTAGCAGAGTTGGGATTGGTGGAAGAGGACTATAAAAGAGGAGAGAGACAACATGCACCAGGAACATCTGAAGGAACACCTGAGCAGCCCCCGAGAGAGCCGGCCGGTGGTGTGCCGCTTCCCCGCGAAAGTGGGGAAAGTGGCAGGGGGAACCGCCCTTCCACGGAGGTGGAAGGGACGGTAGCCAACCCAGGAAGAACCAGCAGCAAACCTGGGGAGGGCCGAGCAGACAAAAGAACAGCGCAGGGTCCTGTGTCGTTCCTCCGCGAAGAGGGGGAGCGACATAATGGTGCCGTGACTCGGATGTGAAGCCTAGGCAGGGTTTAGTGTCGTTCCTCCATGAAGAGGGGGAGCGACATAATGGTGCCGTGACTTGGATAGGAAACCTAGGCAGGGTTTAGTGTCGTTCCTCCACGAAGAGGGGGGGCGACACTTATTAAGTGATTACACTCAACTTCCTTTGATTTCTTGTCCCTTTACCTTAGCCAACTTATAGTTATCACTATTTTAAGGTCAGATTACTTTTTTACTTCCATATATAAGATAGAATATATGGTACTTGTCTTTCTGTGTCTGGCTTATTTCACTTAAAATAATGATCTCCAGTTCCATCCATTTTGCTGCAAATATCAAGATTTCATCAATTTTTATGGCTGAATCATATTCCAATGTGTATATATACCACAATTTCTTTATCTGGTCATCTGGGCATCTGGTCATCTATGGGCATCTAGGTTGATTCCATATCTTGGCTACTGAAAACAGTGCTACAATGAACACAGGAGTGCAGGTACCTCTTTCACATGCTGGTTTCATTCCCTTCAGATATATACCCAAAAGGACAGCTGGGTCATATGGTAGATGTATTATAGTTTTATGAAGAATCTCTATTCTGTTTTCTGTTATGGCTGTACTCATTTGCACCCCACCAACAGTGTACAAAGATTTCCTTTTCTTCATATCACCAACATGTTATTTTTTGTCTGTCTTTCCTATAAAAATTGCAAATGCTATTTTTTGCAGAACTCATTTTTGTCTCCATGCATTTTGCACAAAGAATTCTATTTGTGTAAAAGGTATTTAACATTGTCTGACATTTGACAAACTAATCAGTTAAAAGACAATTCATTTATAACCTCTCCTTTGAATTCTTCCCTGATCTACCTACTAAGACATGAGACAATTACTCACTCCTTCAGTTGAACTGTATCTGTATCTTAGGATCCAATTTTGTCAATGCCCATAAGAATAAATTAAAGATAATTAGTGAAAAGCCAGCACTGTGGGGTAGTGGGTAAAGCCCCACCTTAAGTATTAGCATCCCAAACGAGTCCCAGCTGCTCCACTTCTGATACAGCTCCCTGTTGATGTGCTTGGGAAAGCAGGGGAAGATGGCCCCTGCACCCATGTGGGAGACCCATAAGAAGCTCCAGGCTCTTGGTTTTGGATCGGCTCAGCTCTGGCTGTTGCAGCCATTTGGGGAGTGAACCAGGAGGTGGAATACTTCTGTCTCTTTCTGCTTCTGCCTCTCTATAACTCTGCCTTTCAAATAAATAAATAAATCTTTAAAAGATAATTAATAAATGCATACAAATTCACTAGAAAGAGCATTCCACTTACCTTTCAAAAAAATAAAAATAAAATTTTTAAGAAAAAGTAGATATAGGAGAGAACAGATTTTTAAAGTAAAGTAATGAGCCCATGATATGGGATAAGTCCAGGGAGACAGGATTAAGCCTGTGAGCTAGAGGCCACACCCCCTTGTCCCGACTTGATTTTACCTGTATCCACCCACCTGTCAATCAGACTATGTGAGCACTCCCCTTTGGGAAGTGAATAAGACACTGGAGAGCATTGAGCGCTCCCCACCTCCCCCCATTTTACCAATGTTCCTGCTCTATTGCCCTCTCGATTGCAGTCTCTGGCCTGCTCTCTGGAAAAGGCTGGTATGGAACTCCCCTGTGTACTTTTTTCTGACCCACTCTCCCTTAATAAAGCCCTCATGTTCCTGTGTATTTCTTTAACTCACTAAATAAATCTTAAACCTTACCATGTTACATTTCTCCTTTGAGCCAGTGCTTAGAATTCTTATCTACATAAATGTCAAGAACCCGAAATATTAAATTCTGCCTTAAGTTAACTTAGAACATAAGTAGTAAGCAAAGAGGCCAGTTTGGGTATGTTGCCCATGAGAAGGGTCATCAAAGAAACAATTTCAACTCTTTATGAACTCTGTGAGACACTTAGCCAGGTAAATCACGGATAGAGTGCCAATGTTCTTCCTTAGGACCTCCCTCTTAACTGGTTACGTCTAAAGCATTTCCATCAGTACAATTTCCATGGCATACTATATCTATTCTCATGTCTCCCACAAGACTTCATGTCACAACCATAAGGTAAGGGATATCTCTTGTCACTATTTCTCCAATGCGTAAACAAAAATTAAAATGGATTGATGAATTTTTAAAAAATTATCTGAAAGGCACAGTTACAAGAGAGAGAGGTCCTCCATCTGCTGGTTCACTCCCTAAATGGCCACAAAGGCCAGGGCTGAGCCAGGCTGATGCCAGAAGCCAGGAGCTTCATCTGGGTATCCCAGTGGGTACAGGGGCCCAAGCATTTGGGCCATCCTCTGCTACCTTCCCAGGCATATTAGCAGACAGCTGGATAGGAAGTTGAGTAGCCAGATCTTAAACCAGCACCCATGTGGGATTCCAGGATCACAGGCAGTGGCTTAACCTGCTCGGCCATACTGGCACCCCCGGCTTGATGAAATTTTATAATTCAGTACTAGAGTTAATGTTGTTTTAACTTTTTCCAACTTTACATGTGACTAAAAAAAGCCAGAAACAGTATTTAATTACTGATGTCTTACCTGTGTCTTACATCGTACATCTCGTTCCGAAATTCAGAAACTAGTATTTGTGGTCGAGAGGTCCCTGGCGAATAAAATCTTTTCATCAGTGTCTGAAGTACCCTTTCATCAGCATGATTATGGCAACAATAGGCTTGCAGAAGTCCTTTTAAGCACGATTCAATAGCCAAAGCATGCTCAGGGTCCCGAAGATGAATGCAAGCTCCTAAAAGTAGACAGGACTCATGAATGCTCTTTGACGCATTGATGGAATCATCTTTTTAACAGTTCAAAAATGACTGAAAATATTTTCAAAGTAGCTTAAATGACATTACAGAGTCTACATGAACTGAATGGAAAATCCTCACATAGCCCCTGGACACAGCAGGGAGAAATCTACTAAATCTTGTGAAAAAAAAAAAAAAAATACCCTACTACAATGTAACTCAACAGTGATGTTTCTACATAAGTCTATTCCAGTCTAGCTCTCAATGGTGTTTTGAAAATCAAGTCAAACGATGTACACATTCTTTATTACTTTCTGTAAAATCACTTAATATTGGGATTATAGATTTAAGGATGGGAACAAAGCCTCGTCTACTGAAATGGACTGTGGTATGAAGGTATTTATATTGAAATGAACAGATATTATTACTGCAATACTTAGATGCAACCAAGTACTAATAAAATTTATTGCGATTTAGAACACCATTTCACCAAATGATATACAATTATGCAATTCCCCAAAATATGACCAAAAACATTCTTTAAATTTCATGTATGTATGGGAATAATTAAGTAATCAGATTTTAGAGTTCAAAGAGGATGTTTCCAAATCATGTTTTCCAACCCAAGTAGGAACTCAGAAAGAAGTCATTTTATAAAGGTCATGTAAAATTCAGGTAAGCATTCAAGTGTATCTTGATGTGATTAAATTCTCTGATTTAATCAGTCATGCTCAAATTTGCTTGTTTAAGAAATAAAATAAGAACCAATTCTTTTCTTCTTCTTTTTTAATCTTTCCTCTCCTTGCTTGAGCGTCACATCTTTTCATCCCTGTCAGCTTCTGTGTCAGTTACAGGGAATTTGGTTTTTTTAAAGATTTATTTTATTTATTTGAAAGAGTTACAGAGAGAGGTAGAGACAGATAGAGAGGTCTTCCATCTGCTGGTTCACTCCCCAGATGGCCACAATGGCCAGAGCTGCACTGATCGAAAGCCAGGAGCCAGGAACTTCTTCCGGGTCTCCCACGTGGGTGCAGGGGCCCAAGGACTCGGGCCATCTTCCACTGCTTTCCCAGGCCAGCAGAGAGCTGGATCGGAAGAGGAGCAGCCGGGACTAGAACTGGAGCCCATATGGGATGCTGGCACTTCAGGCCAGGGCTTTAACCCACTGTGCTACAGCGCTGGCCCCAAATTATTCAATTCTATAATTTTCCTTTCCCTAAATTCTCTTTCTTCAGGTTAATTAATGGTAAAAAGAAAAGCCACAAAATTTAAAGTGATTTTACCATTATTTAAAAACTATAAAGTCTACAAGTAAGTATATTATTCTCTTTTCTTCTCTTTTTTAAGAGGCAGAGAGATAGCAAACTTCCATCTGCTCACCCCCAAATGTTTGCAATGGCCACACGGGGCCTAGTCAAAGTTGGGAGCTGGGAACTTAATAAAGGTCTCCCACACCAGTGGCAGGATTCCAATAATTTGAGCCCTCACCATTGCCTCTCAGTGTCTGCACTGGAAGGAAACTGGAGTCAGGAGCAGAAGTCAGGTACTGAAATCATGTACCCGAATATGGCACAAGACCAAGGTCTTAACCACTAGGCTAAATGCCTATCAAAAATGTATAAGTCTCTGGCCTTTACTCTCTTTTTATCTTTTTGAAACTAAATTCAAAAGACCCCTTTCTTCAAATACAATGTTATTATACCTAGTGTTTATGATATCCTTGGTAAGTCATGACAAATACCTAAAGGGCCTACAGGTTTGTAGGTAAAATGTCCTCGTCTATAAGCATCATCTATTGCTTCAAGAAGAGCTGGAACATGAGGGCCAAATCTTTTCAGTCGATCAGTTTTACTATCTTTCAATTCTTTCAGTTGTATCTGATTATAGTTCAGTGTATGCTTCACATCCAATTCTTCTCTCCTAAGAAAAAGGCAGAAAAAGAGATACACGATAAAGTGACACAGAAATATTCAGCTTTTCCCCCCGCTTTTTTTTGACAAGCAGAGTTACAGTGAGAGAGAGAGACAGAGAGTAAGGTCTTCCTTTTCCATTGGTTCACCTCCTAAATGGCCGCCACGGCGGGCGTGCTGCACCGCTCCGAAGCCAGGAGCCAGGTGGTTCCTCCTGGTCTCCCATGCGGGTGCAGGAGCCCAAGCACATGGGCCATCCTCCACTGCCTTCCCGGGCCATAGCAAAGAGCTGGACTGGAAGAGGAGCAACCAGAACAGACTCCGGCGCCCCAACCAGGACTAGAATGCGGGGTGCCAGCACCACAGGCGGAGGATTAGCCAAGTGAGCTGTGGCGCTGGCCTCTAGCTTTTGCCCTTAATACCTGCATACCAACAAATGATCCAGCTGCCCTAAAATCTGAAAGCAGAGTTTTTTAATTTGAAAATAATGGTTACCAAGGTAAAATTTGGCGTGAAGAAAGTGATACAATAGTGATGGCCCAAGACACCTATAAATGTGAGAAAAGTCTTATAAAAGTGATTTTAAAATATCCTTCGTTACACAGAAAAAAAAAAAAAAAACAAAAAAATCCCATTTTCTTTTCATAGAAAGAGAAAAACCATACAATATGTAAGCAACTGAAGAAAATTATGCCAAAATTATAGCAAACTTACTTAATTCTGGCATATTCTTCCTTGTCCTTTTCTATGGCCTGCTGAAACTGTTCAATCTCTTGATTGACGGAATTCTCCTGATCATGTAAGGCCTTTATTCTCTCTTTTAACCAAGATATTTTCTTTTGCCTTTCCAACCGCTCAGGTTCCAAAGACTGATCAGTACTAACAGTAAATAATCCAAAATGAAAAATGTTAAGTGAAAAACCTGACAGTTAAAAGACATGAACCAATATAATACAATTCCATTAGCCATATACAGAAAACACAACACTCCAATGACCTAGCTTACTTTAATACAAAATCAGGTAACTGTGAAAACTGCAAAATAACTATCATACCTTTTTTTTAGTTCTTCAATTCTTTTACAAAGCTGCTCATCGTCTTTCTTTAACGCTTTATATTCATTTAAGGAACGGTTATATAAAACCTAACAAAAAATTAAGACACATTCCAGTAAAATGAAGAAACAAATACAGTATTTTCAAGTCCACTTTTGCCAAATTTTCAAATTGGAGGTTGAAATGTTTATAAATATATATATATTTTAAAGATTATATATTTATTTTAAAGATTTATTTATGTATATGAAAGGAAGAGATAAGAGATAGAAAGGGAGAGGGGGAAGATATCTTTTATCTGCTGGTTCACTCCCCAAACGGCCACAACAGCTGGGGCTGGGCCAGGCAAAAGCCAGGAGGTTGTTCTGGGTTTCCCACATGGGTACGGGGACCCACGGACTTGGGCCATCTTCCATTGCCTTCCCAGGTGCATTAGCAGGAACCTGGATCAGAAGTGGAATAGCTGGGACTTGAATCAGTACTCATAGGGACACCGGCACTGCAGGCGGAGGCTTAACCTTCTACACTACTGCACCGGACCCTTTATATATATATGTGTGTATACACACACACACACACACACACACACACACACATATGTATACATACATATTTACATTTATATATATATAAAGTGCATGAATGACCACTTGAAACCACTGCATTTTTTAAAGTGTTGAAAGCAGATCAGATTTCAACCCAGATACAAATCCTCTACTTTTAAAAGTAGGTAAACAGTTCTAGTATTTGCTACAGAGTTTTTAATAGTCCAGGTTAAATAACTTCTCTCACCTCAGCTTCATTATAGGCCCTTTTTTTAGCAGTGACATCTGCTTTCAATGCCATACATTCTGGTGCTCGTGCATTTGTCTCTTGACTAATCTTTTCTAGTTTATCTTGAATATCCTTGTATTTGTTTTCTGCTTCATTAAGTCTGACCTTTAAGAAAATAATATTATTGGGGTACATTTTCTTTTTCTTCCATAAAGAGAAAACCTCGAAAATAATTATTTATAGTTCACATCCCAATGAATTTAATTTTGCTCAAAATATTAGGTAAGCAAACATATAAAATACCAAAATATGCTTTAATTTTAACACACATCTAGTTACCCAACAAATGTGCTATCCTCTGGCAATATAGATACAATAATAACTGTCTTCAAGCAACACAATTAAAGGAAGATAAACACAATGTAGCCGAGAAAGACAAATTAATGACACAGTTTGCATGTAAATACTATTTAAGTAACATAAAACAAACTATAGGTCTTCCAGAAAAATCCAAGAATGCCTTCAAGGAAGAGGTAGTACCTGAGCTGAGACTTGAAAGATTAATCTAAGCGTATAGGACATAAGTTGGGGAAGAGTGTTAAAGATACAGAGAACATGTAAGAACAATATTCATAATTTAGGAATGAAAATTTTGTATGAGCTTGAATTGAGAGGATGATGGTAGGAGATAAGATGAAGGACAGGTGAGTCATGCACTCCATAATGAATGATCAGTTTACAATTTAATTCTCTCAACAGAGAGACTACAAAGGACAAAATTTGCATGTTATATCACTCTGGAAGTACTTGGAAGGGAGGGTGGGTGAAGGGAAAAATGAAAGGAAAACAGTTCAGGAATAAGTTAATATTGTAGAACAAAAATAGGGACAAAAATGGGACACTGACAATAGGAATGGGTTGATAGAGACAGACATGCAAAATATTTAGATCAGGTTGGTAAATACTTCCCATAGACAGCCAAACAGAGTATACTTCAAGCTTTGTGGGCCATACAGTCCCTGTCACAGCTGTTCAATTCTGCCATTGTAATAGAAAAGAACTCTGTGACAATGTGCAGAATAAATTTTTTTTAAGTAAAAATTTAAGGTGGATCCAAGTGTTATACAAATTCAACATTTATACACGATATCAATATTCATTCATACTTTCATCTTTAAATTATGTTAACACAAATTTAAAGTCTGCTTTAGATGATATTTCTTCAGAAACCAATCCAATACTCATTCTAAAAGCAATAATTAAACACATACAAGGGGCACTCCAAAAAGTTCATGGAAAACGTACATAATGAAAAACCACACATAGCTTTTGTGCCAAAATAAACTTACCTTTTACTTCTATTTTCGATGAACCTTTTGGAAGTACATTCAACCTATGGGAAAGGCTTCACATAAGACATGGTGGGAAATGGTGTGGATGCCAGTGGTAATGAGCTGCCTATCAGTAAGTGGCTGGGCTGCTGGGACACAGAGGTGGCATCTACAGTAATGGAGAAGAACAGGTAGCAGTGTCTCCCAGGCCTACTGCTGCCACCAAGAAACAATCCAAATGTAAATTCTGGCACATGAAGACTATATGGGAGTAACTGATCATGTCTGCATTGTAGAATCTGGAATCAGGATTCAAAGTGAAACGCAAAAAGTTCAAGCTGAGACAGTACATACTCTTACTGCCTTGACAGTTTTAAAGAGTTCTGGGCTGGGTTTTGATGCATTATGTCTCAGTGCAACTCATTATGTTGGAAGTTAAAAAGAATTTCATGAGAAATTAATTTCAAATTCTGGGGAAGAAGGCAGAGTGAATCCTTGAAGGGATCAGTTTTTTACAATGATTTTTAAAGAGGATGATGACAGAGGGGAAAAAAGTATTAGAAGGAGGGAAATCATATAAGGGACAAACCCATTTTTTGATTGCTACTGATCTACTGAACTGCAGTGGAGGTCAATTTGAGAGGAAAAATGTGACCGTGAACATTAAGGGGGCCGGCGCTGTGGTGTGGCAGGTAAAACCACTGCCTGCAGTGCTGGCATCCCATATGGGCACCATTTGGAGTTCCGGTTGCTCCTTTTCCATTCAAGCTACCTGCTAATCTGCCTGGAAGACAGTGGAATATGGCCCAAATGCTTGGGCCTCTGCACCCATGTAGCACACCCGGAGGAAGGTCCAGACTCCTTGCCATTGAGGCCATTTGGGGAGTGAACCAGCAGATGAAAGACCTCTCTCTGTGCCTCTAACTCTGCCTTTCAAATAAATAAATAAATCTTTTAAAAAAAATTAAAGAAGACAGGAGAATTCTCTGTGATACTGAGATTTTCTATAGTCCCACTGTGGAGAAAATGCTAGTATGTGGGCTGGTTTTCTTTAATTCTTGAGGTAAGATAGTCTTGAATGCAATGCTTGCTGTTGTTGATAGGTGATCGCAAATGTGCGTTGTGCTCTCTTTGGAATTGTTTCAATCTCATCTAATGCTCACAGTGGATCAAATATAGATTTTGATAGCAAAGCAACTGTAGTCATGAACTCATGTGAAAGAAGTCATTATTGACTTTATCCTCTTTAGAGTTACACTGTCATAGCTGGACATAAAAGATGGGGGGGTCTGTAAAAATATTTCTTAGGAATGTATTGCTTAGTTCCAAAAAATGGTTATATTGAGTTCTCTATCACTTACTGAAATAGTTGTAGACTGAGAGGTATATTCTGTATAAATCAGCCAGATGTATGTATATCTTTATTGTGTTAGTCATTAGGCTGAAGAAAACAAACTTTAAAATGATTTTTTTAAAGAAAATATTTTAATTCATTTTTTGGATACTGTTTTCATTTAGAAAAACATTGTGCTAGTACTGAATATAAACTGGAGTCTTTTGCTAAGCACCAGCAATAATCATATCTTAAGGTTAAATCCCAGAAAAAAAATTGCAATAAAGTATATGTGTATAATATATATATATAAAGTATGTGTATATAAAATTATATACATAAATAAATAAATAAAGACATGGTGAGGCAAATACAAATGTCAGAATGTCCATGCTCTCCAAAAATCTGCTGCTTAACAAACCCAGGATGTCCAAATGCTTAAGGTAAGGAAACAAATACCTAAAGACAATCAGAAATCACCTTTGCTTCCTTTTTGAAAAAGAAATGAGCATCTGTTACTGGATCATAACAGATACTAATTTTAGACTGTGAAATGTTTAGGGGGAAAAATATTTAAGGCTTTTCCCCGTGAAAAGTTGAGAAATGAGGCTGAGAAAAATATTTGGTGATAATTTCCAATATTCTCTCAGAAATGAAACTTTGAGATAAGTGATGGAAAGGGCTAAACTTTCCACTTACTGCTTGAAGAGAGAGTAAGAAATTCAGTCCAGAAATCACTGACTGTAATCTTCACCTTTTCTATTTTCTTTATATACTCATCATCTTTGATGGACTGATGTCATAACCCTCCAAAGAAAAAAAGACCTATCTGCTTTTCTTGGAGGGAGACAGGAAAAAAACGGGCTGGGGAAGATTACATCTTAAACCACAACCAAGCCTGGGGGTCAGAAATTCTTAGGACAAAAGAGAACACAATACTAAGAGTTGAATAGTTCACAGACAGAGAGTACACCAGGAGTACATTTCTATAAACAAAGAAAAGGCAGGAGTTCTAACAACATGAAGAGCTCTACAGTAGTAGCTGCACAACTTTGTGAATATACTAAAACCCACTGAACTGTAAACTTTAAATGAGCAAACTGTATGGCATATGAATTGTACCTCAAAAAAGAAGCATACAAATGGTGGATCAGCTAAGTGGTAAAGGTCTACATGGAAATCCCCCAAAAGGATACTGCCATTACTGACCACGCAACCACTGTTTACCTCTAGGTCTCTGGAAAATTTTCATGCTGTTCAGAGACGTTTCTACCTGGGTTCTTAGATCTCAGGTTGAAATGAACCTTACAGACCAAACGACTTATTTTACACATGTTCCACTTGTGTGAGATTCTCTAACAGGAAATCTTGGTTCTGGGTCCTATACTAGTTTTCTTAATGTTCCATAAGCAATCTCAGGGCATTGTTTTTAGTTCTGAATTCCCATACTTCCTGATACTTAGACATAATGTTATTCTAACTGAGTGTTATCCTAGCATCACTTCATTCTTAATGGGCTTCTGTGTTTCAACTTCTTAATAAAACCAAAAGTAAAAGCTTCCCATTCTAGTATCTCTCATCAGTAACAAAAACCCATTGTCTACATCATGAAAAATCTACAGCCTTAGCCCAAGACAGATTTGTCACAGTCAAACACAGGACTTGTTTTTTTCAAGTGAATTGCTTGCAACAACAGTCCTCATTAAAAGCTCAGGTGTGCTTCACATGAGTAATAAATTCAAATACAAATAAACATAAAGATTGCAACTGTCACTTTTGTAGGTCACAACTAGTCTAATATCTGCCACTTCAAATGAACCTACTAAATTTCTATTTAAAAAACTGTAATTACCTGCTGTTCTTCCATTTTCCTATCAAGTCTAGCAGCACGATCTTCTCCAATTTTGATATTATCTCTGATAGCATTCAATTGTTTTTCAATTTCATTGACCTAAAAAGAAATCATATAGCAAATCACTGGTAAGACTGTCACCTTAGACATTGTGTATATTGTTAACATGTGAACAAGCAATTAAAGTGAAATTACCACTGCCCAAGCCATCTCATGTTTCAAGTACTCCAAATTAGTCTTCATTGTACTTAAACCAGCAATACTTTGAAAACGTTCTTCTTTTTCCAAACACTGGCGCTTTAGTTCAGTAAGTCGCTTTAAAAAAGAAAAAATACAGAATATATTACTTAAAAGGCATTTTGCAAATGTATTTCTTTCGAAAACAATGCCTGAACAGGCACTCCATAAAGGTTTATTAGGAAATGGCATCTTTAAAGTGGCTCTTTGGTACTTTTACTAGGTGCAATAATTGTTTCCTTTTACTAGGTAATTTTGTTAATTACCTAGTAAATGACAAAAATGGCCCAACAGTCTTCATATGATAAAAAACATGAATTAAAGATTTAAAACCACAAGCATAGATACAACTCACTTCCCCATTTTCTCTCTTTATTCTGTACTTGATTGGTCTGTTCTTTCAAAATATAACCAATATTCATTCCAAAGATAAATGAAGTATCAGAAAGAATCTATTTCCAAAATCAAAGTTGTATTATCCCTCGCTCTGGCTTAAGAAATTTAGAACCCATCAGACAGAAACTCCTTCCCTTCAACTTATCCTTCAAATCTTTTTTTTTTTTTTTAAAGATTTTTTTGTTTATTTGAAAGGCAGAGTTACAGAGCGGCAGGCAAAGAGGAAGAGAGAGAGCAGTCCTCCATCCACTGGTTCACTCCCCAAACGGCTGCAACAGCTGGAGCTGGGCCTGTCGGAAGCCAGGAACCTGGAGTTTCTTCTGGGTCTCCCATGCGGATAGAGGCCCAAGCACTTGGACCATCTGCTTTCCCAGGCTACAGGAAGAAAGCTGGATGGAATGTGGAATAGCCAGAACTCGAACTGGTGTCCATATGCAGGTGGCGGCTTTACCTGCTACACCATGGCGCCAGCCCCATCCTTCAACTCTAAAATCACCTCTCTTCCCTTTGCTCCAAAAGAAAAGATGCCCTTTATTTCCATCTCCATGCCCTACACTTAAATCTACTGACTTTCCATTCCATCTCTTCACCTTGCTTCTACTTTCACCCTCTACACTGACTCCTTTCCATTATCACACTTTACTCCCTTATTTTGCTGATTTACGAACAAAAATACCACTACCCATTCCTTGGCACCATCTCCTGCTCTAAACTTCTCCCTTTCCATCCAAGCTACATGAAAATTATCTCTCTCTGGGGCGTGCACTGTGGCCCAGTGGGTTAACACCCTCGCCTGAAGCATTGGCATCCCATATGGGCACCAGTTCGAGACCTGACTGCTCCACTTCCAATCCAGCTCTCTGCTATGGCCTGGGATAACAGTGGAAGATGGCCCAAGTGCTTGGGCCTCTGCACCCATGTAGGAGGCCCAGAGGAAGCTCCTGGCTCCTGATAGGCGCAGCTCCGGCCACTGCAGCCAACTGGGGAGTGAACCATCAGGTGGAAGACCTCTCTTTCTCTGCCTCTCTCTCCTCTCTCTGTGTAACTCTGCCTTTCAAATAAATAAATAAATCATAAAAAATTGGAAATTATCTCTCTTCCATTTCTTCACATTTTCAGCCTTACAAATCTAGCTTCTGTTTTCACCACTACTGAAATCCATCTTGCCAAAGACATCTATATTGGTTGAACTCTATGATTAACACACACTTATTCTTAGGTGTTTAAATTTTAACTGAAAAATGATCCCTGTTAAATATAAGAGTGGGAATAAGAGAGGGAGGAGATGTACAATTTGGGATATGCTCAATCAGACTTGCCCCAAATGGTGGAGTTAGAATCATGCCAGGGGATCCCAATACAATCCCATCAAGGTGGCATGTACCAATGCCATATCACTAGTCCAAGTGATCAATTTCAGTTCACAATTGATCACACTGATAGGTCTAAGAGTCAAAGGGATCACACAAACAAGTCTAGTGTCTGCTAACACTAGCTGATAGAATCAAAAAGGGAGAGAACAATCCATCATGGGAAGCGGGATACACAGTAAACTCATAGAATAGCAGACATCTATGAAGATTTTATTATAAATACTGTGAGTTTTCTTTTTCTTTTTTTTTTTTTGGTGGTTTGATCACACAGCACATCTCAGTCAGTCACGACTACTTCCTTCTCAAATTCTCTCTCCCTTTAACTTCTATCTCTCAGGAACATGCTTTCTTTCTTGGCCTGAGCCCACTCTTTTCTCCCATGCAGTCATCCACGTTATGCCTGGAGCTTACATACTAATAATATATTGATGGCACCTACATTTTTACTGAGGCCAGACTTCTCTATTCTTGTCTCACATATGCAACTTCCTACTTGACATTTCCTTTGGATGTAGAAATTCCACTTTCCTTTTAATGAAGTGCTCAAAATGGAATTCATCCTTCTTTAAAAAAAGAAAAAAATTGACTCCTTTCCCTAGCTTCCTATCTCAATAAATTTATTGGATTGCTAGGAAAATTAGTGGTGAAATCATTTAGTCACTCATAAAACAACTGCCCAATCCTTTCAAAACTCTTATTCCCCTTGCTACTGCCAACACCCTTACTTCAGCCACCTTGGTATCTTTGGACAATCATATCTTCTTTACTGATTTTGCTATATCTGTTCTTATAGGACTCTTTTAAACAATTTAGTAACCTACTGAAAATGCACATCTATTCAAGTCATTCACTTTCACATCTTCTACTGCCCTTAAGTTGTGTAAGATCCTTCACAATCTGGTTTTTTATCTTTCATTCTGGTGTTCTTTACTCTAGCCCACCCAGAATTTTTTAAAATATTTTAAAAAGCACTTAACAGTCCTTTGACCTTGAGACTCCCACCATGCTAATACTTGGAACATCCTCTTTCTCATCAGCCTTTGCCTGGTAATATTCATCCTTCAGTATCATCTTAGACATCACTTCCATAATAACCCCCTCCTATCACTGCTCTCCCCAATGCCCACGCTCTTTCAAGCACTTTTACACAAAAGCTTGTCTATATGCCTTTAATGGTGCTCAACATAATCTAATTATTTACCATCTATTTTCTACTAGATACTTAGTCTATTGCCCCATGAATCCCAATATGTATTCGCCACTCTCCGCTCATGGTCAAGGTACAATACACGTAGGCATACTGTAGAAACTTAATATTTGTTGACTAACATCTAATTTCTAACCATCACATACTTTTTCCAAAAAACGAAGAGTTCATTTTGAAAATGTAGGATATTTAATGAACTAGAAAAAAATATTAAATGCACATTATGCATCAGCAATTCTGAAATATATAAAAAGGAAGTATACTACAAACTTCATAGCCAAAACATCGTGAATTGTTGAGGACAAATTATACCATGAAGAAAGTGATATTTAACCCCAAGAAGTCCAAAGCAAACACATTTCTTCCAAGTCCTAATATTATTTTTTAAAATAAAAAAAAGCAACACTTTTTTTTATACTTATTGGAATATGCAAACATTTCCTTTCCTCAATAATAACAGTGTTACTCCAATCAAGTGTGCCAGAATAATTCTGTGGTTATAGTAGTTCTTTCCACACTATCACCTAACCCAAGTCTGAATGGATAATGTGGGGAATAAAATATATTCACTCTTGATTTTTAAACTTTCCTTTAATGAACTATACAACTACAGACCTAACAAAATATACACTTCTCAAAAACTTATAAAGTAAAAAGGTTACTGTAACATCTAGTAATTTCAATTCCTGTCAATTATCATTATAATTCTATGTCAAAAGGACAAACTAAAAAGTTGCTGGAAACTCAGATGGCTGTACATAACCGACTCACAACAAAAACCAAGATATGGAATCACATAAAACTAGCAGGGCATTACACTAGAACAACAACTGCATTGTAAGCCTTCTGACTCTGAGGTCTCTGATTCTCAGACAAAGTGCTGCATCTTCAAGAATCTGAGGAAGAAGGTATATAACTGATAGAAAAACAAAGCACGTCATGGTTGGCCTACGTGATTTAAACATCAAGCAAGTTTGCACGGCTGCCAAGCTTGTCAGTACTGATGTGACAGCTACTTTAAGTTACCAGCTGCTTAAAGAATGTTAACATTTCACTTGTATAATGAAAGTCATCTACTTTTTGGTAATTATATATTCACATTATGTTTATTATTAGCTTGAGGCTTGGGTTTATTAGTCTCATGAAAGAAACACTGTATTTTATAGTTAAAAATTACTTAAAATAGTGAAAACTACTAATACCTTATTGTGGAACCAATCAATCATGTGGCATGGAAAAAGCATGTAAGATACTGCCTTGTCCTGTAGTTTACACTCTAACAGAATATGAAGACATGCACATACTATTATTAACAAAACAAAAATGAATAAAAACAAAATCCTGAATATAAAACCTAAACAAACTTCAGCATACTCTACAATATTATTAGTTTTATAAATGTTTAGATGAATATCTAATTTTCTTTTTTTATAAGATTTTTTTTTTTTATTTGAAAGACAGTGTTAAAGGGAGAACTGGAGAAGAGAAAAAGGTCTTCCATCCATTGGTTCACTCCCAAATAGCTGAGTTAATCCAAAGCCAGGAGTTAGGAGCTTCTTCCTGGTCTCCCATGTGGGTGCAGGGGCCCAAGGAATTGGGCCATCCTCTGCTGCTTTCCCAGGCACGTTAACAGGGAGCTGGATGGGAAGTGGAGCAGCCATGACTTGGACCGACGCCCATATGGGATGCCGGTACTACAGGTCAGGGCCTTAAATCACTGCACCACAGTGACAGCCCTGAATATATAATTTTCTAATACAATTTTAACTACTGTGGAATCTGAACAACCTCAAAAAGGTTTATATTAACTGCTTACAAACCTCTTCTCCCTGATTTATCTGCTCCTTTGTTCTTTCTTTTGTTTCCATAATGTATGAATAATCTTCCTTCATCTGTTCAAGTTGGGTTGCTTTCATAAAGAACTGTATCAACAACAAAAAAACACAATTACGAGCCTATAAATTTTTACAGAACTGTGAAAATTAAAAAGAATTCAGTCTTTGAGAACTTTTAAACAGGAAGATAATTTAAAAACCTAAGTACACACAGACACAAAAGAACATGTCTATTTGAGACTCAAATTTAAAGAACCTGCTATGTTTGCATCCATATGCTCTTTTGCAAAAGGACTTAAGACCCCATGGAAAAAACTACCTCTGTAATACCATTCTGAAAGTTCATTGTCACTAATTCTTCCACGCTTTAAGCAAAAATGACAGAAACCATTCCTTTCTTTGATCTTAGTGCATCTTTTTAGAATAGGCAATGCCAAAACTTATTCAGAAAACTGCAAACTAAATTTTAATATTGTCAAATATTTTTAAACTGTTCAATAGTTTAAGATTTATAAGTTATTATGTATATATTACCAACTCTTCCCTTCTATTTCTCTTAATATCAATTTTAGAAAATAATAATTCATTTTTTCAGAATCAAAAGCCAAAAAACTGAAAACAAGGACCTGCTGAGGAAAGCATGTCAACATCATACTTAATTTCCTACTCTAGTCCTATGACATTACATTGAATAAGTGGCTTCTAGAAAAAGAGTTAACATAGTATCTATTATGTGAAGAAGACTAATGTTTGGTATTTATCTACAGGTATTCATTTTGGATAGTTTTATATTTACTTTGGCACCTCTTACTTTGTATTTATCACCCTCATTTTTAGACTGCAAGAACTGCTTGCTCATCTCTTGTGTCAATACTGAAACTGGATTATCCACCTGAAACAAACAAAAAAAAGGTCTTTTTTAATATTCTATTTTAATGCATTATAGATAAATAAACTGAATGTACATTACAACTGACCTACAGTATCATCAAGAAAGCTAAACACTAGCCAAAGCTTAGCATTACTGTAAAAATACAAAGAGAAAATGTGACAATTTTCAATGCAGGGAAAATATTGTAAAACTTTATGATTCCAAATAAATAGTCAAAATTCAATATTCAACCATTTTAAGAGGGTATAAGTGCAAGACCCTCTGAAATATTAGAAATTTTCTCAGTTCGACTTGTTTTTAAAGATTATCATTGTAAAGACACTGGTGAATCATAGGACAACAGAGCAGGAAAAACTGAAGCACAGGGTGGGCTGTCCTTAGCCTCCTATGCAGCCATGGGCAAGTTAGTAAGTTTCTACAGCTAAACAGAAAAATTTAACTCAACTATTTCTAATTAGAATCATGAAAAGAAGTATATGTTTATTTTTCATTCAGCAATGTTTCAGATTTCCCATGTGTCTCCATTCCTCCATGAGGATATTGTAAAACAAATAGAAATGAAGTCACTTCTATCCCCTGGAAAGAGAGTCATGTCATTTTGAATAAGTCACTGTTCCAATACACTAATTTAGACTAATAAGTTAAATTATCAAAGTACAGTTGGAAAAGTATAAAAAAGAACACGACTTATTTCAAAAAGATTCAAGTTCATATTGTATTTGGTACTAACAGCAAAAAAAATCTTGCTCTTAGAGCATAAATTATGAATATAGATGAAAAAATAAAACGCTTTAACACCTATAAAACACATATTGTGTAATTTGTTAGTATACCAGTGATTAAATATTTCTTTTAAGTAAATGCTATACCCTCTCTTCGAAGATAATAAAAAACATTTAAGTACTTGTGAAGAAACTGCTACATAAAGTTTTCTTTTTACATACGGACCAGACTGACTGCCACATATTTTTTACAACACTTCCCTAGACTGCAGCTTCAGGGTGCATCTGACTTTTTAAAAGTAAGGCCTGAGGTGGGTGTTTGGCCTAAAAATCAACACAGCTGCATCCCATATCAAAGAGTCTGGATTTGATATCTGTGTCTCTAGTTCCTGACTCCACTTTTCTGTTAATCCAAACTCTGGGAGGCAACAGTGATGGCTCAAGTGATTGGGTTCCTACTACCCATGTTGGAAACCTAGATTGAGTTCCCAGTTCCCAACTTTGGCCTCAGCCCAGTCTTGACATTCATGCACATTTTGAGGAGTAAACTTACAGATGAATGCTCTCTCTTCTCTCTCTCTCTCTCTGTTGTCTCTCAAAAAACAAATAACACCTGATGCACTGGTTTTAATGACAGACCTTTTACTATCCACTTTGGATAAATAGCTTCATCAAAGTGTACAGTTTTTCTCTACAACCTTTTCATTCTTTTTTTTTTTTTTTTTAAGATTTATTTTATTTATTTGAAGGACAGAGTTACAGAGAGAGGTAGAGACAGAGAGAGGTTTTCCATCAGTTGGTTCACTCCCCAGAGAGCCGCAACGGCTCAAGCTGCGCCGATCCGAAGCCAGGAGCCAGGAGCTTCTTCAGGGTCTCTGTCGTGGGTACAGGGGCCCAAAGACTTGGGCCATCTTCCACTGCTTTCCCAGGCCATAGCAGAGAGCTGGATCGGAAGAGGCACAGCTGGGACTAGAACCGGTGCCCATATGGGATGCCAGCGCTTTCAGGCCAGGACTTCAACCTGCTGCGCCACAGCACCGCCCCTCATTATTTCTGATAGGTTTCTAGTCCCTATACTGCTATAGGGATGATTTAAGAACTCTGCAGCTTTGCCTATACAGATCTTGCAATGAGCCAAAAGGTAAATACAATTGGGTAAACTTCAGAGAAGGGAGAATGCAGGCATAGGGGACAAATAAAATCTGGTAATTGGACACATAAAATACTCTCCTCCCTTCTAGCACTGACCAATAATAGAGTAAAAGCCATCATACAATTTTAAATTGTATAGTATACACATTAAAATTCTAAAAAGAAACAGGTAAAATTAATTATAATCCTATTGTAGTCCAATATATCCAAAATATCACTTTAACATGTAATCAACATGAAAACTGAGCTATCTCTGTATTAAGTCTCGATAATCTGTAACTTTACAAAAAAGCATACCTCAGTTCAGATCACCTGCCTTTCAGGTGTTCAAGATTCATCTACTTGCGACCAGTGATTATAATGAACACCAAAGTTTCAGACCTTTAGTATATTAAGGAACCTGAACTTTCAGTTATGGGTTTATTAAACCATCCGAGAAGAAGGTTAAAGAAATTAGCATTAAAATCTTTAAATATTTTAAGAACTTTCTAACAAATAAAGCAGTCCACAGAAGGAACTAAGATACCTTGACAGAATGATTTTCCTACCACCATACTACATGCTACAGGGACTCCTGACATCTACAAAGGGTGTGCACAGAGTGTGCTAACTATGGAGTATGGTAATCATGGAGTATAGCAACCATGTACAGAGCGTGGCACCTGTGCTGAGTAACCACAGGGTGCCACAAAGTGTGGCCCTCACACTGGATAACCTGTAACATTCCCTTAACATCTATCATTGCATAAATGTTAAGTTTTGGTCTTCATGATTCTAACAAAGTGTATTCTAGTTGGAAATGTATTTACCGTATCTGCTTTCCTCATTTTTTTTTTAAAGATTTATTTATTTATTTGAAAGTCAGAGTCACACAAAAGAGAAGGAGAGAGGTCTTCCAACCATCGGTTCACTCCCCAACTGGCCGCAACAGCTGGAGCTGCGCTGATCCGAAGCTAGGAGCCAGAAGTTTCCTCCAGGTCTCCCACATGGGTGCAGGGGACCTAGGACTTGGGCCATCTTCTACTGCTTTCCTAGGCCATAGCAGAGAGCTGGATCTGAAGTGGAGCAGCCAGGTGTCCATATAGGATGCCGGCACTGCAGGCTGCAGCTTTACCCACTACACAGTGCCAGCCCGTCCAACAAGGAAGCCCACTTGCCATATGTAGATTTTCAACTTCAGTAAAATTAAGTACAATCAAAAATTCAATTTTTCAGTTATACATTTCAAGTGGTCAGGAGTCACTTTTCACTAGAGGTTACCTGGTCAGGCAGTGTAAAGACACTGCACACTTTTAACATCACAGAAGGTTGTTCTGGCAATTTTGCTCTGAACCAAGCTGAGAAAGAAATCCCAGATCCTAAATGTACTTTTTCTGCGTTGACTGATCTTGATGTTCTTAATCCTGGAATAATAATCCCAGTGTTGCAAAATATACAGAGCACTGGACAATAAACAAGGATGCGACACATGCAGTGGTTAAGATGCACTTGGGGGGGCGGAGCCAAAATGGCGGAATAGTGAGGGCGCGCACCGATAGTCCGGGAAAATTTAGTTTAATAAAAGCGGAGTTACAGTAGCCTCAGAAAAAGGATCAGGAAAAACTTGCAGAGGAAACTCTTCCGGAGCTATTCGCTGTGACCCAAAGGACCTACTGGGAGAGCAGGGTCGCCCACCACACGGAAGCCGGACTGCGGGAGCTGCAGAGTCTGAGCGCCAGTGCGGGAAGGGGAGTCTATGTGACAAAGACAACAGCAGGGAGAGGAGGGACGCCAAGGGCGCTGGAAGGGAGGGACACATCTGCGCTGGAAGCGGAGGTGAGCTCAGTAACCAGAGACATTGGCTGGGAAAACGGGCAAACAGAAATTTTTAGAGGGGACGCGGGTTTTTGAAAGCGGGAAAAGTACAACAGACCTACAGGGGGAGAAGGAAAAAATAAAATAAATAAATAAATAAATAAATAGGTGGGGGCATACTGGTACAGACAAGTTCCACTCTCTGCCAACCTTGCAAAGGCAAGCAAGAGACAAAGAGCTGGGATATACATAATAAAAGGGGAGAGTTAAGCCTACAATTCAGTAGCCTAGGCAACCCAGTGGGAGTCCGCAGGAGAAATGGAGCCAGCACAGACTCTTTGGGTAGAAGCCAGCGGAACCTAAATACCATCCATTCTGCTCAGCCTTGCAGTATTACTTACCTCCTGAACAAAAAATAAAATAAAATAAAATAAAGTAAAATAAATAAATGAATAAATAAAGAGAGATTTACCACGCATAACCTGAGGGTGTCACCTTTGCACACCTGTAACCCTGAAGAACCAAGCAGAGCTCTCAGGCCACACCCATCTCAAGCCTCCAAGGCTCCTCCAACAGCAGGCAGTCCACTTAACAGGGACATAGTATAATAATAAAAAAAAAAAAAAAAACTGTGGGGAGCAACTCTGACTATACTGTTACTGGAATTAAGACTTATTCTATGCATGTGATCTCCCACAATGTGGCGCTGGGAGAGGAGCATACAGCTTCTACCCAGCTGCCTCTCACCAACTTGACAAGCTGCAAGAGCCGCTCCTGATTGGAGGAGAGCAGCGCGCTCGGCTTGTGGGTAGCAGAGCACGGATTGGTGGAGAGGACTATATAGGAGGAGAGAGACAGCATGGTAGTGTGGGTTGGTTGGAGAGTGCGTTGGAGAGTTCGCGGGGAAGTTCGTTACTTCGTTCTTTCTCATTTCTCTCTACTCATTCTTGCTTTGGGAGTTTGCTGTTTACTTATTCTTACTTTACTATAGAAAGGACTTGTAAAAAAGGGAACAACAAGCGTCCGGTACGGTGCGGCTCCTCCGCGTGCGGAGGAGCAGCAAAAACCTCACAGTGAGGGAAACAGAATTAACCATGCCAAGCAATAAACACAGAAATCGAGGGAACAAGATCAACGATGACATTATGATGCCTCCAAATAAAAAAAACACCCCAAGCCAAGATTATGAAGATGATGAGATAGAAGAAATGCAAGATACGGATTTCAAAAAATTTATGATAAGAACATTTAGAAGTTTTCAAAAGCAAATCCTTGAACTACAGAAATCCTTATTGGACAAGATTGAAAATCTCTCTCGTGAAAATGAAATTT